TGTCAATATTCTCGGATTTCCAAGTCTTCATAAACCGACACCAATTACTAGCCACGTTATTCAAATTGAATATTCAAATTAATATTTTTATCATTTCCTGTATTGTCTTCTTTAATAGTCTAACTGTTGTATTCTGTAATAATGTTAGTTAATTTATAAATTACTTATCTAAATATTTAATCACACAAAAATAGGTAGATTGATTTGATTTTCCTATTAGAAATCATGTTCATCCCAATATTTATATTATGAGAGTTGGTTTTATAATACATAATACCTATTCCACTCATTACTCTTTGTAAATATCACTTTCTTCATTTCTGCTACTCTTGCACTTCTTCAAATCACTTTTAACCCTTTGAGTACCATCATTATAGACACAATTAAAGAACAATAGGTTGCGATCACCGGTGTCCTCTCGGTGTTTGACAGTTTATATTCTTAAAACACTATTAAAAAATTTTGTTCATATTATAAGAACATTCATAAATATGATGTTTCGAACAAAATAACTAGTTATTACGCATTTACCAAGTAAAGGTTGAAAGATATCAATTAAAACAGTTTGGTTAAACTTTACAAAATATCAGCAGTGAGTCGATGATTTTAAGTTTAATCAGTATTAAATACAAAAATATTAATAAGAATGAAGTAATATTAATATTATAAATACAAATAACTAAAAACTAAAATATTTACACCTTAAAAATAATAATAATGTTAGCTTATATCAGTAACAGCAGGTCTATCTAAATAAACTTATCATGTTGCTGATATCTCACCTTATCTCTTTTTCATTCGCATAAACAGTGTTTAATGTTATTTTATAGATCACCGTCTAAATAATGACTTATTTAGAATGTCCAAATTAGTGCCAATGAATGAGAAATTGATTCATGGTTTTCAAAGAATTAATAATTATTGCCTTAAGGCATTAAGTCCGCCATTCACTGTTATGTTTTGTGAAGAAATAATTAAATATTTAATTCCTTGCTTGGAAAAAGATAGGGTGATCGGAAAAATTTAATTATCTGTCTTATGAATAAATAAATATTTATTTAATTCAATTTTTTTTTATAGTATCGATACTCGTTTAGTAATAATCGATTTGCTAATCCATTATAATATTTTTCCTGTAGTAATATAAAACTACCAAGAAAAATAAAACGAATGTCAGTGGCAACATTAGCGCGTTCGATTGTGGTAGTTTTGAGTCGGTGTGAGACCTGGCAACACTGCCATTGTGACGTCACATGAAATAGGCTGACGAAATCTTTTTAGATTTCGTAATAAAATTATTTTCAGTGGTTTTTCGTAGTGTTTGTACGATTTGTAGTGTTTTTGAACAATTATAAACTATAAATTAACTAAGTGTTGTGTAAAAATTTCACTCGGTGCGATGGGCCACCAATAATTTTAGTGACAACGAGTGATGAAGGAAAAAGAAAATGGCTACCTTTGAACGCATATTGTTAAGCAGGAATCATTTAATTATAAATGATAGATACAACGTTGTTCGCAAAATCGGCGGCGGCAGCTTCGGAGATATCTTTCTAGGAATAAATGTGAACGATGGAGAGGTAAATAACACTTGTAATTTAGATTTTTCATATGACATTTTCTTACGAACGATTTCTTGTGTCAAGACGGCCGTGTATTTCGGGGTTTTTGTTCTTGAAAATGGCGGTCTGGGCGTATATTTGATCATAATCGTTGCAGTAATAAAGATAAATTTGAATTTTTGTACAGGCATCTGTATATTCCTTTGACATTCGATGTTTTATGTATTTGGGACAGTTTGAAAAATACATAAAGCATGTGAGCTCTATTGTATGATCTTGTGGTATTTTAGCTCTATGCTAATTCGTTGCTTTTGCTGTAACACAACTCATGTTTTGCAATATTCCACTGTAACAATGGATCCGAATGTGTCTCTCAAATTGTGAAATTTCACTGATGACTCCACAATCGTTGGTTCAGATGTAAAATTCACTTTTTGGGAACCAGCTGGTAGACAAAAAATATAAACTTTATTTGATGATTTGTGTAGATTATTACTACAAATACGATAACATGCACTATGCACTCATACAATTTGCATATGAAGTTAAAATACTTGAATAATACCATGTGATCATTGTCCTAATGTTTAGGGTCTCATATGACTCATCATGGACAAGACAAGACCAGCAATGTTTCTACACACATTCCCATTTTAAAATTAAATGTCAATATGAATATCAACACTCATAATCAATAACCTGCCTTACTCAAAGATATTTCTATATACATGTTTAATCATGCAGTTATGTGATAAACCTATTGTGTAAAAGTTCTATTGCATAGCTGGTTACATGCGAATGGCATGAGCTTATACACATATCATTTACAATAGTTGTGTTTTGTGTCAATATCTCCTAAACAATAATAAAACTGGCCTGTTATCGTGTACACATCTCAGTTCTGCCTGTCGCATAAAAATAAGGTTTGATGTAAATATTGAGAGTAAAATGTGTATTGTCCTTGATTTTAAGTCTTGTTCTGATGTAGATATGCTACACAGGTTAAAATATTGATTTTTGACTGTGGACGTTAATTTTAAATTCAACACACATAAAAATATATATTTTTGAAAGTATTTAAAATGAAATAAATTCATCATATTAATTCAACTCAGTCTGCAAGACTGTCTTCGTCTCTTAAATATCACAATTAGTTATTAAATTTCATATAGTTTTAATTCCTAGAATATGAAGTTGCTACCATCATTATCATGACCTTATTTTAACAAAACAACAGTACCTTACATGTTATCATTATATCAGATTCATAACTATTTTAAAAACATTAGCAAAAATAAACATAAATTTTTAGGCATAGACATAAGTTTGTTTGTATGAAAATTCAAACTTTTTGATCCAATGACTATAGATAAAAAATTTTATCTGTTGTCATTGCAATGATAAAATTATTGATCTGGTTTTTGAGCAGGATTTTGTTTGTAGGTGTAATATTGTTTTTGATTACTTTGTTTTGTTTTTGTCTCTTTGTTTACTATTAATCATTATATTATGCTTGTTTTTGAAGATTATCTCTTCGATGCTATGACTCTTGACTTCCAAAGACTAAATTTTATTAATAACTTATTGAAATCTTAGGTGAGGTATAGATGTAAATGAAAGCATATTATGCATGCTACACTATTTTGACCTATTTATGTCATGTATGAACAAACAAACAAGACAAGTTTACTATCACACAAACAATTGTCCTCTCTTCAGTTATCTAGAAGAAAGAAAGAAAGAAAGGAAAATTGTTTATTTGCACACCGTCACACGCAAAGTACAATATAACACACAAAAAAAATTAAAACAGTGAAGACTATCTGGTAGTGTATTGTCTTTTAATTACCAAAATATCATATTTTCTGGCATTTCATTTGTCAAGAAGTAATGTAATGAGTGCCATAAAAATACATGATTTTTCAACATATAGATAAGAAAATGTATGTGATTATTAATTATAAGTAAGCTTTTAATTATTGCATTTATGACAGTTTAATGTTATATCTGTTCTAACCAATGACCACATAATTCAACTAAATTAAATTATTTGTGGTTTTGTCTATGACAGAGTTGATGATTTACATAAAAGCTGCATTCTATTATATTTTTCTAAGTCTAAATAAGTGCAAAAATGTTATTTTGATCTGCTATCTTTATTACTTACATAATATGGTGTACTCCATACATTTTCACAAAGAATTTAGTTATTAGGACAATATTGCAAGGATAAAACACAGGTGTCAGTTGTGGAATGTATGTTTGTCCTGCCAGGTGGTTACTTTACCCATATGGGCACTTTAGAAACATGTGTGATGACCCTAGTTTGTTCAGTATGTAAAATGTAATTTAAATGGTCATAATTTTATGAAATTCTATCAAAATTAAATATATTATGCTTTCAAATGCAATATCTGATAGTAAAATGATTAGTATGTGTCAAAATTTGCTGTTTAGCTACTGATGAGATAAGTAATGTCGAGAATACAGTCGTTATTAGCTACTTAGGTTAAATCTTCACGTCAATCTCATGGTAAACTATCTGTTGCCCCTAGCGACCGTGATCGCAAGATATTATTAGCTTCCATGGGGTTGTTCCGATAAGTAACCCTTTGTTGTTACTCCCATGGGAAGCTAGGAATCCAAGAGGTCTCATTCATGCGTTTTGTGTTTGAATATACGATACTTACGCTTAATAAGCGGTCCAGATGCGCCACCAGCTGCATTTACGTGCATAGTCGATTTTGAAGAATGTGATGTGTACGGCGTATAAGTCAGCTAATAAAAGTAAACTCTATTACAACAATTAGTTTTGGTCCTCGAATAGTTTCTCACTTGTATGTTTTCAAAATTGCCAAATAACCAAGTAACTAGCCTGTCCATCAATATTCGCGCTTTCTATGCATGAGAATCTCGAATCTGTTTTACAATAGGCTGGTATTCTGCCAGTCCCATGTGAAAATATAGCAAGCTTCTCCAACATTGTATAACAACTGACAATATATCATTCATTACATCATCACGCGCGCCCTACTTAGGTCCGTAATTGGTTTGATCATTTATACTCAAGTTCCTTGCAGTGCAGCTACACACAAATTGAAAGGGACTCAAAATACAGATGTGCAATTAAATTGGCACACATGCTTATGACCAGGGATTCGACGAGTCCTTTATGTTCTTTTGATGATCTTTGTACTCGTATTTTCTTTTTCGATGAGGTCGTTTCGGTGAGCATGTCAAGGCGTTTACTACAGTATCTTGTTAGTTAGAAGTTCGAAAAGTCTGGCAATGAATTCAATCAAGAATTAGGTTAGATTTTGTGGATTCTGGAGAGAAAATAGCAGTCGCTTCATGTAGACTCTTTGGTCTGAAAAAGACCAGGAGGGAGAAATAAGTCTTAGTTATGATGAGGCTTAACACTATTTTACTTTGTTGCAGGAGGTAGCAGTGAAGGTTGAATCTATAAAAGCGCGGCACCCGCAACTTCTCTATGAGAGCAGAGTGTATAAGATGCTCCAAGGGGGCATCGGCATACCACACATAAGGTAAGTATTTGTCGTGGTAAACACACGTATATCTTCCAAAAAAGTGGAAATGTGACACGAAAACGTGTTCATTATCTGCTTAGCATTGAACTGTCCTGCTTTCGGTTAGATAGTGTCACGTGTTATATTGAAACAATAAACAAAATTCTTAGATTATATTGAAATGTTGCCCACAATGCGTTTTCTAGTAAATAAGTTGCCGCGGTTACTCTACCTATCTATCTAGCTTCCGAATATTTAAAACGTCAGCAGGACGCGGCGAACCGCAACGCGATTGTCACAACTGTACTCCGGTGTATCAAATTCTAGTTTGTTACTAAGCCAAAATGAGCATTTTTACCGTCGACGTATGCGTTTTATAGCGGTTTTTACTGAAATCAGTTTATTCGTTCACTGTGTGTGTTTGTAAGTACGCAGTCCTCGTGATAGTGTGATGTTTTCGAACTGTACAATTATGCATGTCGAAAACGGGACCAAAGCGTCCGGTTGACCTAAAACTGCACCCGTATAAAGGCATCGACTAAAAAAGTAACTGGGACCAATAATATCATTTAACTACACATACTCGATACCTTACCAGAATAAACATGCTATTTTTGCTCTTATAAGCATCAACAAGCGTCTATCAACGTGTCTTTCAGCTCCTGTTTATCGGTTTAATTTGGCACAGATCCATCCTCCAAATTAGTGTCAATTTTTAACTTATTAAATATTCCCCAAGACAAGTAATGAGTCCTTGAATCGCGTGCTAGGACCTTCGGCACAAATCAAATAGTCTGACCTCAATCCAACGTTAAATCGTTACAAGGTTTATCAGATTTCGATATATAACAGTTATAACCGTTGTTTATAACTAAAGCCATAGAAAGTGCGTTACCTAACTTGCAATTTCGTGTTACGTGCAGACGCAAATACGATTTATGTAGCCAACCATTCTGGTTTTTGAAAGTCTTATTTTAGTTTGGTTTGCAAAATAGATGTGCTGAAGCTAAAGGTTCTATTTAACATTTTATCATTCCTTTTGAGACGTGAAGTCCAATGATCTATGAATCATAGCCCATTTGATGTTGGTTTACCTTGACGTTTTTGAATATAAAAAGTCACTTTGTAAACGTGCCGAGTCATTTGCATAAACTTTTAGTTTAAACAGAGTCCTTTTTAATAATGTAAACATTTATTGGTAACTGTAAACATAAAGCTTGACCATCGCCCACCATTATTATGTTGTGGCCAACATGGAAGGCACGCCCTGAGAGACAAGACGCGGCCAAGTTACGCAGTCTAGCGTCATTACAGTAAATCAGTTACAATCAGCAGCTGCGATTTATTTAAAGCTTGCTTCCTACGAGACGAATATTGTCTCGCAAAGCAATTAAGGTCTGCCGACCGTAGTAATTACTATATCTCGTCCTGTTTGAATGAAAAACCTGTGTAAATAATGTTGTGAACCAACCATTAAGGCCATATTGGTGATTAAAATATACGAGTGTTGTCTGCTGATGAATCGATGCGCGGGCGTCCATCGATTGGCCTACTAATGGTACAAAGCTTCAAACATCGTTTCGTAATTGGTGAAACTCGAAAATTACTAGTTTTTCCACTATGCTTTATGTCAAAGGACGACGTGTAATGTGGTATTTTTAAGGAGCAGTTTATGATATAATTACGGCCTAATTTTGTTAACCAATAACGTAACATAAAAAAAAATTAAAGAATACTCGATAAACAAGCATCAAACGGTGGTAAAAAAAATACAAACATTCATAGCGTTGCCAACCATTGTACAACTGCAAACTTGACACAATTTTTTTGCTATATCAAAATGTTGTGATTTCATGCGAGTCTATTAATCCAGAAGACATTCTGAAGGCGAGTTCTAACTGTATCTTCGCATAATTAAACGTAAACTCAAGGTTTGCATCGTATGAATAGGTTAGTTCACGTACAACGTCATTTTATCATTGTTAGTGTAGTGTAAGTGGTTATTATTCTATTATTTTGTTAGGACATGACGTATAACCTTCACTTAGTGCTCAGATTTGAGTAACAACGGGTTTGGTCTGCCTACACGCTGCCGCGCTGTCTGTCTCTTGAATGTAGTCATTTGATTGCATTCGTGTAACGATACTGTATCGTTTATTCTTGCTGTTTTAAACTCGTCTTTGTTTATTAGGCGATTTATACATTGGCAGAACTCTACTCAGTTACTACTGAGAATTTCTAAATTAGACTCGCTTGCGATCTCTAGACAACAGACTGTAGTAGACTGCTTCATTCGTCTAATACTGAATTCACTGAAATCTATCTGAACGAGTTTACAATAAAACCAATAACTAAAACATGTTCACTTCAGAATATCGTCGTTTAGTTTGATTTAATTAAATAGATTCGTACTTGGTTTCTTTGCGTACGGTTACCAGAAGGTTTTCCGCTTCCTCTATTAGTTTTAGGAACTTCCTTATAATTGTGAACGCTTAATGTATTCATAGACTAATGTTTTTATTGTATCAACAACCACATGACATGTGTATGGCACAGGCTGTCTGATATAAAACTTAGGAATAGAACAAAATAGGGAAATGACGCATGTTCTCTCTTTGCGTAGATATATTTGTTGCGTTCAAACAAAGCCTAGCCTGGACAGGCTAGCATTATATTGTTTGCAGAGAAAAGTTTTACATCCGCCTAAACGTTCGTTACGCGTCGCTGCACAGTCTGCACACCGTCACACCTACAATGAAATTGCACGTGAATATCTGCACGTCTACGTCTGCGCGTTTTGTTTTATCATTACAAAGTAACGTTCTTCCAACGCTTTGATTATAAATAGAAAAGTAGTTTTGAGAAATCCTAGAATAATCTTCAAATAAAGTTTCAAATCTCATCTTAGTAGTTATTCTCATAGCCGCTAGACATCCTTTCCTTCATTGTTAATTTCTAGTAAAAGCATATTTACATATTACATATTGCAAGTTAATTGGTTATACGATTTCCTTATTAGAAATTGAAAACTTTGATAGCATCGTTTATCTGATTGTCGGTCGATTACTTTCAATAGAGCTAAGTGGTACTGACTTAGTTTATATCAGTCATTGTTCCGGTTTTAGGTTTCCTAATGACAGCATTTTATCTTCATTAATGCGAGTGTAAGTTACGCTCTTTATGTATTGGTTTGTTTCTAGGACACCACCTACGCTTTCTGTGTTTATATTCGTGTTGGTTGCCATATTTAGCTTAATAGATAAATCGGACAAGTCGAATATGCTTAGCATATAAAACATAAATATGTGATTTCTAGAAAAGGCAAAAAGGTTCGCGCCCTCATAGCCAACGCCCTAATGTTGTAAGGCAAAGCTTTCTACCTTGCGTCGATAGGCACGTTGCAGACAAAGCCCTGCCCGTCACGTTTAGGGGACTTTCCTTTTACGCAATTTGAAAAGTTAGAGGTGAAGCCTTGAATGTGATGCCCATTCGGGTCGCAGCTTGGTTTATTTGCTAATTAAAAGTTATGATGACTACAGTATAATTTTGTGGGACACTTGTTTATTAGTGTTGTACGAATTTATAACAAACCTAACCTTTTGTATACACACCAGCACATTAGCATACATTTTTCTTCAATAGATTTCTAGCCTTATAGTATACCAATAAAGTTAAAAAGAGAATCTAAAGATATGTATTTGTCAGGTTTAGCCTCACAACGCTAGTTCCTTCGCCTTATCGTTCTTTGATCGTCTTTTTCTATTGTCAATACAACACTATTGTGTGTTCTGTAAGTAATCTGTTTTGTTTAGAATACGTTTAGTGATAACCTTGTGTCGCCCTGTGCAACATCTCATTTACATTCAAGCTTTACTAGAAAACCCACGTCATACGTCGCATTATTTTGAATTAATTTTTTGAAGGAGAAAACAATATTTTCATTTCGAAGTGAGTTTATTTATATCATTAGGACTTTTTAACGTTTTCGATGTAATTTGTTTATTAATGTAGCTAAACCTAATAAACTGTCAGACTGTCACAACTAAGCTTTATGCACAGCACAGATTTCGAAGAAATTCCCGCCATTTCATTATAACGTAGTATTTTCATTATTATTTGAAGTTCTTAAGGATAAATACAATACTTCACTTACTCTGCTAAAGATAAAAATTTACAAAGTACTCTTGCACTATTTACCGCGAAGTTTATCTTAGATTTGACTTCTGTACTCATCACCATTCAGAGTAAACATGATATCAATACTACATTAATTTAATATCAGTACATTTCAATATGAAACAACTTTGCCAGAGTACTATTTCTTGATTTTCCTTGTGTACCTTTGACAAGAATGAATTATCCATTTTGGTCGAGTAGTTCAAGTGTTATGAAGCTACATACCCGTGCGGTGGTTAACTTTTATTTATATAAGATCTCGATTGTTACAGATGGTACGGCTACGAGAAGGATCACAACATCTTGGTGATGGACCTCCTTGGTCCATCACTCGAGGACCTTTTCAACTTCTGCTCCCGCCAGTTCACCATCAAGACTGTTCTTATGCTGGCAGGTCTGTATCTTTGATTTATCTCATCCTCGACTTTCAAGTGCTACCTATTTCTAAGCAAAGAAAAATTAATAACAATCTAAGATTAAGAATAATTATGTCAATATGCAGGTAAGTCACCCTTGTTCAGAATTGCACTTTTTGGGTTTTTTAAATGGAAGTTGTTCGGTAGTAAAATATCCCATCATGTTAAATTCCAATGGAAAGTGGTCATAGTATAGTTCCGCAAAGACAACGATGTTACTCTAAGCCTACATCATAACTTGTATAAACAGAAAAACCTTACTTCTACGTCAACTCTTGCGACATAAACTGAAAAAGGTATAAGTTAAAATTTCTTTAGTGTACTTATGTACTAGTATGTTATCGTTATTTCTACTTACTAAAAGTAGTTGTTGAAGGTTACACGTGTAAAAAGCCTTTTCGAACATCAATATGAACATGACATCGTCGCATGTTGACTATTTGATTACCATAGCAGCCCATGTATGGTGCAAAATCGTCTGACTCAGATTTCTTTACACATAATATGAAGTTTAGTATTTCACTCGTTTTTCTCAATATACTAAGTTATTTTCTCCATAATTACTTAGGCAAAATGCATTTAATTTTTTTTTGTATTTTATAATGTAATAAAAATTTCCATATCTTCTCTTTGGTTTTCTCTTTACTCATTTCTTTTACTCTTCTTTTTTACGCACACATCGGATCATCAAGGTAATATTTCATTGTTTCCGAGTCCATAATTTTCAGAAATTGAAAAATAGAAATTTTTATCAATATTCAATTTTATCAATATTTCTTGTACACAGATCAAATGCTGGGCCGCGTGGAGTTCATCCACTGCAAATGCTTCATCCACCGTGATATCAAACCGGACAACTTCCTGATGGGTATCGGCCGCCATTGCAACAAACTCTACATGATCGACTTCGGCTCGCTAAGAAGTTCCGAGACCTGCGCACACGCACGCACATCTCATACCGCGAGGATAAGAACCTTACTGGTGAGTATTTAATGCCTAAAACATTATTCCATGATAGAATGACACTGCATGCAGATACAGAGAGAGAAATACAAGCATATCGGTCCCGGTTACGGAAATAAAACAACACAATGAACAAGTCAAAACCTTTTTTGAAGTTCATGCCCGGTCATATAGGTCCCATTAGACTCCACTCCACCCATATCATACAGTAACAGAACACAACAACATCCCTGCTAAGTACAGACATACTAGTTAGCTCCGTTGACATTGTTCACAAACTTGCATAGAAATATTCTATAGAAAGTTTCACTTGTCGAGACTGCGACGCGACTTAATAAAGAGCTTCAGTAACTGAGTCGTGTCAAAGCCCTTTTATCTTTACTTGTATAGTATTCTACAACCAGTTTACAATGCGCATCCCGACCAACTTAGTTCGTTACGTTCCCGTGTTGAATACTGTTAACCTTATAAACGTCACTGAGTTTAAACGTATCGGTGATATCGCCGTCGTGCCTCTCACAAGTATGAATTGGCGACTTTTTTGGTTTAAGTATAATAGGTAGGTTCTATTAGTACCCAGTTTAATAGGGTAGTTTCCTAAATTTTATTTTAATGTCCGTCTGGTAAATTAATTGAAAACTTTAGACACGTATTTTGTCTTTTCTCACAAAATTTAATACTTTCGACGATATATTAATTAGAAATGTCGTGTGACGTCACAGCGTGTTGCATTTTATAGCACGTTATGACGTAACAACCTCCCACTCCTAAACTTAGCGCCATTTTATCAAGGTATTGCAACTTAATACGAGAAAATAAAAAAATACGTGTCTAATATTTTTTCATTATCTAACTGACGGACTAATTAGATTTTTAATTTTGGCACCCTAGAAACTACCCAATTATCTGTATTTTTGATTACTTACGTTTTTAGACGGTACCTTGGATTTACAAGCATTAGTTTTAAGATGTGACTCATTTTCATGTCTTTTGGTTCGTATATTTGTGTGACGTTAGCTTTCGGAGATTTTTGTCGCATAGGTTTTTTGACTCTGGCGTTCAAAAGTTTACAACAAGAATGAGTCACTGCGGGTGCTTGGGTATTCCTAATACATACTATACTACACTATACTTCGATGGTTTTATAAAAAAATACTCCCTTGAAGTGTAGGCTGTTTTTAAATAATATTTTATACGAGGAAAACAAATAATAACAAAGGAGTTAAAATAATTAATTACTTTTTGTGGTAAAGTAAGCGGGGTTAATGCGGATAAGAATGCGGTTATGCGGACGTAAAAATGTATTTATTTTGTAGTTTTGGCGTAATTAATTAATATGTTTTTAATGAAATTGTTTTTATTAAAATTAATGTTTGGCGTATGACTTCACTGTTATTGCTTACGCATTGGTAATCTACTTACATTTTGTAGTATTGTCTTGACACTGATTTCCACGCTCACGTAAGATTGTTTCTAAAATAAGAATACCAAGTTTCTACAATACGTAGTAGTTAAGATAATTCTGGTGTGAATTATTAGTATCATATCGTAATCTATACGTTTATCAATCTGAATATTGTTTTGTTATCAGTTCAAAAGATAAAGTTACCAAGAAATGTTTAATTGTTACAATTTTGTGCAGTAACATTTTAACATTGAATTTTCCCTATGTTCATTTCGTTGTTCCTCCTACTTCATTATTTGATTTTGAACTACGATGAAAATACGGCGAATTATGTACTTAATAATGTAGTACGGAAACATTTACATACTTAACAACATAAGCCATTAAAAAGTACCTATTTGACACAGTAATTATCTAGAATTTTACACATCATCACACTCTTTAAACACCAATAAATAATATAACCCTAGATTCGTTTACAATAAAAGATTTACTAGACGAATATCTTGTAAATGTTGTATTGTTTGTGTCAGGTACGGCTCGGTACGCCTCTATAAACGCCCACCTCGGCATCGAGCAGTCACGGCGGGACGACATGGAGTCGCTTGGATACGTACTTATGTATTTCAACAGGTAAGTCATGAGCAGACAATATCACTTATATGATATTTAAAAAATTTCAGCTTACTTATGTACTAGAGTCTTCTAGTACATAAGTCGCTGCAGGCGTGGATTTAGTCTTCAAACTTAATTTTTTTTAGTGTTTGGACCAATTTAGATAGTGCCACTGCCTAATTAGGTTCTATTAGCTTAACTAACAGTGGCAGAAACATCAAATTATTATTTTATTAGTTACAGTAAGTTACACTAATCTAAACACCCGGAGTTATGCAATAGTAGAGCCTCACATTGTCATGCAAGATGTCTTGTATCATTTCTGCAAGAGTTTCTGCAGGCAGATTAATGATACCGTGAATATTGTCATTGCAAAGTGATGATATGGCAAATAATGCTTTATATTTATAGACAAGCAAATCGTAGGAATTGTCTCACTAATCTTAATTAATGAATTGTATGTAGTCATGGCATGGTCGTTATGGTTAAAATATGGTGTAAGCTATTTATATTTACCATTTTCCGAGTCATTATTTCGAGACAGAAGTACAGGTAATATTTATTTATATGAGAAAATTTCTATAGTACTTTTGTGTGGGAGATAGCTGGTACATTTGTTTTCACCGAAGCGGTGCGTGTTTGGTTTGTTAATGGAGTGACGTCACGGTATACAGCTCCTGTGGAATATCAGAGTGATATCGATTCTCTGTATTGTGATTCACGTTTGAACCACACGGATATGTAACATGTGGAAAGAGCATGGTAAAATGAATGTTCTACGTATTTCAGATATAAACTAGCCAGAATAGTTTAGTTGTTTCTTAGAAAAATTATGGCATTTTGAATTCTTCAACAGTCATCAGTACTTGACATAGTGGAAGTTGCAATTAATGAGCAGTCGAAATTTTGGTGAATGAAATAATATTGCACTTGGTTTTGCTAAAATGTGTATATTACACCATCTAACGTTCCATGATCTCCATCATGCAATATCGAAATCGCCCAGTAATCACGTGATTCCAGATAAAAAAAAATAAAAAAAACAACAGTAAAACCGTTGGCACAACTCGATACCCGCGCCTATAAGTAAGCGTATTCCGGTTTGAGGCTGTCTGATCCGTTGTGCATGTCCCGACTTGTTGCAAGTGACTCACACTTGGACGGAACCCGTTCTGTACGGAATAAGGCCGTTAATTTTAAATGTCTGGGTGATACTGGAACTGGATTACTGTTAGTTGTCCAATGATTTTGTTAAGGCGGAATCTAAAGGTTTTGTATTGTTACTAGAATTTAAATCTATAGGTCATTTGGGATTACAGTGATATTTTGTGGTGAAACATTATTATTATGATTGTTTTAATATTTCGGGAAATAAATACTGTTTATATGGGATTGTCAGTTCGCCACTACATAACCTTTTTCGTGTTAGATTTCGTCCAATATTATTTCCTAGTAGTATGCTTATTAATAACAAATAGTCAAACAGCACATTGACCTTTTGAATGCACTGATATTAAACACAATAGAAAATACATTGTGTCTCGCTTGGATCCACGTCTTAGACACACGAAAGGTTTAAATCTCTGAATATTTATTAATGATATTTCTTCTATTTACAACAGAGGTTCGCTGCCATGGCAAGGTCTGAAGGCGATCACCAAAAAGCAGAAATACGAGCGGATCAGCGAGAAAAAGATGTCGACGCCCGTTGAGGTGCTCTGTAAGGTGAGATACAGGCAAAATTGACAAATTCATTGTTGGAAGTTAATTGCTTTTACTATAAAATTGTGTTGTGTACTAGACACATTTGTAACGTTTGAATTTTAATTTGATCGGCATAATACATCAAACACAGAAATTACATTTTGTCATAGTATGAGATACAATCTAGCACATAATATTTGGTCTCTTCAATACTTCACTCATCAGTTTTATTGGGTTTATATTATAATATACTACTTCAAACTAGGTGTTCGGTTAGCGTAGGCAGGCTTAGATTGATCCAACAAATCATACCTTGGATCCAGTAATTGGATAAGCGTAGCCAGCCCAGTAACAGCTGACATCGTGATTACGCGTGAGCGGTAATGGATTTGAACCTGCGACCTCGCGAAGAAGGTCGCCTATTGAAATCATAAACTCGTTTGTTACGTTAACGAGACAAATTTAGCTAATGTTTTGTAGATATTCGTTCATAATCAAATAGAAAACTATTCGATTAAAAAGAGAAGTATGATGAGAGAAAAAGGAGAAAACATTACATTGTGCCGACCTTAAGAAACTTAAGAATCATCATTATATTTTCATAATATACCACATAAATATTGTTCCATGTTTTCATTTCATAATTTACCACAAGTTACGTCCTTGAACCATATTTATATGCATTTTGTTTTCCTTACAGGGATTCCCGGCTGAGTTTGCGATGTATTTAAATTACTGCCGCGGATTGACCTTTGACGAGGCTCCCGATTACATGTATCTTAGACAGGTGAGTCATTATGATATTATCTTGTCTACTACCCTTATTAAGCGTGACAACGTTTTATACGAGAGTTTTGTTAAGAAGCTAGACAAATCAGCTGATGATTTGTATTCTGCATCCACAATTTCAAAACACTACATAAAATCTAAAGAAAGTATTATTTATTAAAGTTCAAGTGATACTTTCGTCTCAAGAAACTTTGTACTTACAAAGACCTTAATAAACTAATTAGCTTTACAATTACTTTCTTTTACAATATAATGTTACGTAAAAGGCACATTCATTTATGTAAATGGTTCCCAACCAGTCTTCAGAAGACAAAAATGGTCTGGAGAATGTAAAACAATACACAAGACTACCTGTCCAATACATAACTCAGTTGAACTTCAAACTAAAATGTATCAACAGAGACAACTGAGAGGAGTAGCTGTTTAAAATACAAAAGGCTATTTATATGAGTGAATGAAAATTTGTAGAATCACATGAATAGTAATAGTGGTCCCTAACCTAACAAGAATGATTCAAGTGGACCAAGAAAAGCTTGGGAACCGGGATTACAACAACAACACTAATTGAACATTTTGTCGCACAGCTGTTCCGCATCCTATTCCGGACGATGAACTACCAGTACGACTACACGTTCGACTGGACCATCCTGCGGCAGCGCAAGCAGCACATGGAGGCCGGCGCCGCGCCCGCCGACCGACGCTCGCCCTCCGTACAGCGGCGCGCCGCCCAGCAACCCAGCCAGCCGCCGCCCAACAACGAGGTAAATATATCATACTTCTACACTTGTCTACTCACGAAGTAGCCCATCCTACATAGACCTAGGAGTTAATTTTTACGACTGCAATTCAGCAAATGCAGTCGACTGCAATAACAAATTCAACTCATGTGTTTTACTTTACAATAATCTATCAATAGAGAGTAGTCTCTATAAATCTAACTAAATCGCTTTTCTCTTTACATCAAGTTACTGACAACTGCTAATATTAGTAGTATACATAGAATAGCTTAATTCTGAGGTGTCATTTAAATGTCTGCTCACTTATGACAAAAATGAACTCATCAAAGGCATTAGAATTACCTAAAAATTTTGCAATAAGGATTTAAAACATTGTTACAAAGATAAACAATGGTTCTGCTATTGTGAGCGAATAAAGGAACTTCTCACGGTTTCCAAAACTACTAAGTGTCTCCTAATGACGGCTTAACTTTTCCATTTATATAACACTGCACATCCTAACTTTAGAAACCTTCTCATTATTAAGATATCTTGGTTTAAATCCCATATAACCGAGTACTCATTTGCCTTCCTAACCTTAACTCCTTTCCTAGGTGAAATCCGTCCATGTAACAAATGATTCAGCCGCTAACAAACAGCCGGTAAAAGGTCATCAGTCTGTCAGTCAACTGAAGAAGAAGCTCACTGCAATATCATAAACATTACTGAACATTTACCTTCCTAAACATCTTTATATGTTGCCTGAATATGCACCACGCGGGTCTATGGTACTTTCTTTCCATGAAGTAGTATAAACTAACTTTAAAATAGTTATACTAAATAGACTTGTCCCAGGCGCTTTGAAAGCTTTCTTTACTTTTTCTGTCTTGTATCCCAAAAAATCAATTTTATACTGTATGTTATTTCACTTTAAAATAGTCTGGTGTGTGTAAACATGTTAAAGCTGTTTGTCGTTTGTTTACTACAGATAAGCTAACAAATTGCGTACTACGGGACGATACGCATGACTCGGCCAGTCACGTACGCAGATATTTATTACAATCTTTTACAACTATAATTATGTGACACAAAATCAAATAATGAAAATATTCTTCGAAAACTAGAGCTTATCCCTCGTATATTTTTTTTGATTGACAAAAATTTAGCAGGTTGGTGCATATTCATGAAACGTCGCATAAAATTGTTAGTAGACGCGCTAATTAGTTATTTACTAAATAAATGTTTGACAATCAAACCTTTATTTTATGGGAGTGGCAATAGAGATGCTTTTTCAATTTTAGATATTTTATTATCGTGAATATTAGCAGTGAATATTAAATGGACAGTCCCGTGTCCGTTGTCTCAGCGGACGTTTTTGGTAGCTCGTCGCTGTCTAATCAAATTGTCGCGTTCCTTCGAACTGTTTATTTTATGGTGTATTGGTGTACAACTGTGGTTGAATGTAACGTTGTGTGTGAGTGTGTGCGTTTTGTTCACTGTAAATTTTTACTTTATAAGGTTTAAAAACATTATTGATAGTATTATTAATACATTCGCCAGTTGCGTACAGCTAGCAACGTGTTTTGAACGAAATCTTTTTTAAGCTTCACAATCATATTGGTGCTAACTGTACACAACTGAATGCTAAATATAAAACCTCTTTCGATAAAGCACATCGTAAATTTTTATATTTTTAATTAATTGTCAAAAAATTGTATAAATTATAAAATGAGTGTTGCCAACACTAAAAATACTGTGTAATGTTTGAAATAAGGTTCAACATACGACAGGCTACGATGTGAATTTTGTATAATTTGAATAAAAACCTTCAAGTAGTACACGCGTATGATTACTGAACGAATCAATAACACGAACATGCAAGCACAAAGTCTGGTAATTTATACCTACAATACCTTTATCAATTTTAGATTAGACAGTAAAATTACAGTAAAGACATTGCGATATTCTCGTAGCCCTTTTATTTCACATGAAGAGTATTTTTAGAACATGTAGCTGTCTGATAAGTAACATCGCGATCACGAGATTTTCCCAATCGTGTAATTAGAAAATAATAGTCTCTCATTCCCTGGTCATTTATTACCACTGTAATAATGCATTTCGATGTAGATATCTGATAAAAATATTAACATAACTGCGTGTCTGTATTTAGACTTTTCTTTTCGTTCTTTGGTATCAGTAAAATTTGGAATCCATTGTAATTTGATGTATTTTTGTTAGATGTCATGTGGCTTTATAAAATAGTGTAACGTGTTTGTTTCTTCCGCAGTGAAAGAGATTACGACGTTCGGCAGCCCCGGGCGGCGCCGCCAAGAAGCGCGCGCGGTAGGCTCGGGCCGCCCGCGCCGCCCGCGCCGCCCCCGCCGCCCCCCGCCGGACGCCAGACTGACGCTCCTCCCTGCATGTGGCGCAGGCTGCACTGCGCCCGCCATGTCGAGGACCACTACCGCAGTGGTACATATATAATGATCTTTGTTTGGACGCGGTCCAATCCTCTTTTGTTTACTGTATAATATTTAACTGTAAATTACATTACAGATGTTGATACGATTACACTAGAAAATTATTCATGATTAATTCAGTTTGTAGTTATGTAACTCGATGATTGTTTAGTTTTCGATGTTAGTTTTCTAATTAGCTAGTGTTCACATTTGATTGTTACCTTCGGCGGTATTTCAATCTGTTCTCTGTACATATGCGAATTGTGTTGGGAATACCGCCGGCGACGCGACACGTAACACAAATATTGGCTAGAGTTGTTCATTAAAATTGCAGATTTCTAATGAATAAAGTAGTCTATAACAAACGTGAAAAAATGGTAAAAAAGTAAAAAAAAACGAAAACATGTGGTAGTATGTAAGAGAATTGATTTCCTGCCGTTTGAAACGTGCCCTGCCTAACTAAACCGACATAGTATTTAAGATTATTTTTAACTTTTTGCTTATACTTTGGCGTATTTCACTTATAAATTGTACATAGACATAGGGTAGAGCGTGTTTCAAAGGGACTTTGGTATGGCGGTATATCTTATTTGAAGATTATAAAATTGTAAATATAATAAGCTAGTAAACTTGTTTTAATCACTACATATTTTTTTAAGAAAGCACTAATTGCGTTTGATTTGTGGTGTATTGTGATACTGCATGTAATGTTCTGAGCGAGGCTTTGCGCGTTGGAAGCTTTAGGAAATGTCAACTGGACACGGCTTTGTGTTACTATATCTAACACACAGTTGAGGTGTCCACGGGTGACGTTTCTCCTTGCTTCCCTCGCCGAGCTCGACCGGGGCTATTCTGAAGGTTTCCAAACACTCGAAACCTTGTCTTGTAACTGGAGTGACTTTCATTTGAGGTTGTATACTCCTCAGTTTTTCTAATGAAGAACATTCCAATTACCAAACAAGCTCTCAATCATTAGACTAAAAGAACTATTCAATAATATTCATGTTTTTATACAACCTTCGTCCTTCCATGCACTGAATGAATGTTAATGAAGTAATTCTAGTAAACAGGAAACTGACACGTGTAGTCTCGGCGTGATTGCCGGTGTCGTGGGTAATATTTTTAAATTGAACACTAAACAATGCTTCCATAGTTTGAATGATAGAAGTATCATAATACACCATGTTATTTCTAAGACATAACTGTAAGTTTCCGGAATGATTAGTGCGAACGAAGTGTGAGCGAACAAATGGAGACAAAATAAAATAAAGATACCATGTACAGTTACAACGTTGGTATATGTTTGACCACTGTGAGTGATATTATGGATCTCATCCCTTGCAAATTCGGTTTTATTTCGAGACTCAGTAACGATGGTTCCGGACTCGCATTTTGTCTCCACTTGTGTGTATACTCAGTGTGTCAACACTCTATAAATTAATAAACAGTAATAAACTAATTTCTTTGTTTTCTTTCATATGAAACCCTTCACGTCAATGACACAAGGACAAATAAAATACAAGAGTTACATTTTACACTTTATTCAACATTGTCATATAACTTACAGTAATTAACAATAAATTTTCACATAATTATTACTAGCTCTCGCGAGCTATGTACAGAACACCTAATCTAAGTCGTAACATTCGAGAAAAACACCGATTTAAACAGCATAACAAGGATAGGTATGTATATAATCTAGTACTGAATACACCAAATGTTCATTTGCATCAAAACATACTCGATTAGCTAAGGGAAATGCAACAAAGAACAAATGCTATGACAACGACACTAGATATTTGTCGATGTATTTTATTACATCAGACAACATCCGTATTACGTCTCATCAGTCGTCTAAAATACGTAAGTATGTTGCTTATAATCTAAATTGAATAAGTCACGAAACATCGTAAGTAAATAATAGTAATTTATCAGACAACTATTACCTAGATCAACGAAACCTCTAATAAATGCGAGCTATACCTAAATTTTAAAATGTCAATTAGGTACATCGAAATCATGGAAACGAAGACTGAACTAACAAAGAAATTAACAGCTTTTATTAATTTCAAAATGGAGAAGTTTACTGGATGCACTAAATCTCATTGACTTTAGTTATGTTCAAATGCGTGAGCTACGTGACACATTCAACATGGGCGCCATCAGCGTTACTTTTTAGTTTCAAGAGAGTGCACCTGCATGTACCCTAACGCTACGTCCTGAATGAGCGATCTAGACGCGAATGCTGCGGTGGTGCAAAAACAACAAACTGTCGAAACCTATTAAAGTGTCCTACTTAGGTACGTGACAATGCGCTGCCCGTGGGATGCGGTGCGGAGCGGAGCGAAATGACGCGGACGAGATCAGTTGATATTTCTGCGCAAACTGTCATATTCGGATGCGGTTGGGTATAATGAAATGATTCGCATGCACGTAGGACAAAGGCGCCGCGTCGCACCGCTCCGCATTGAATTCGCGTGTCATCGGTTCATAATCACATTCGCTTCTAGATCGCTCACGCAGGACGTAGCGATAGAGATTTAACACGAGACTAGTAAGTTCCTGAGTAACGTAGGTATTTGGGAATGTGTTTAGCCGTCAATTTTTTAATAATCGCCTAGAGCTTAGGTTGGGTTCGGAGGTTTTACACGTCGGCCCACATCACCCAAGGTCATTCCAACCATGGAATGACCGTCTGATGGCCGAAGCTTCTAATTTCTAATGGATCTGTCCATTTGTTTGCTGTTTGAGTTTTCATCTGTTCTGTTCAAGTCATTGGCACTCTATCCCTCAGTCGGAAATACCACCATGCGAGGTGGAACTAATAAAAATTCCTCTAGATTTTACAGCCAATCGTTTATTAGTGGGGTCAGCCTAAGACCTGGAACTCAATTATTTCCAACATAGCCCTCAGATCTTTTTCATGGAAAATTCATCAGTTGCTCTATAAACCGCTAGATTTGTCTTCTGAACCTCCGAGAAGCTTTCTTTTGATAAGCTAATCCTGGCTGTGGCGCCCATGTTCAAATAATTGTTATTTAGTCTAAAATTAAATCAAGCCTAGAATACTTCTTTCATGTAGGAGTATATTTTTAAGTTACTGGTTTAAAATGGTAGGCTTAAAAATATTTAATCCATTGATACTGCTGTGAAAATGTGACGTTCCAATCAGATCAGTCAACAGTGCCTTCAAATGCTAATTTTATTTCATACGATCCGGTTGCCGGTATGCGGTTCACGTTACAAATTTAGACGTTTATGTACCGGTTATTTGACATATGGTATGGTATTTCGCCATCCGATACTCAATACCGGGCTATCTGGTAATCGAAGCATGTGACCTATTTGTCGTAGTACCTACGCTACGCACGTAGTGGGGTATTTACGTAGGCCGTAGCACAATTACGATGCTACGTCGTAGCAATGTAGCTAAATGCAAGATAGCTAACAAATACATTTGTGTTACAATATTAAGTATTGAATACATTATGAAATACAAGTATGGTTAAAATAATTGTATTCACATTAAAATCATTTGATACACAACACTATGTGCTGCAAAGTAATTATTTATACGCCGATGTAAATAGCATCGTTCAGCACTGTTTTAACGATTTTAAAATGTATGTGCGCACTCGAACGACTGCACCGCATTGGATAATAATATTTTTTATCGTTTACATATTGTCAGGACACAATTGGTACGAAAAAAAATCAATCAACCACTTTTACTAGGACAGGGCGGCCATTTTTTTTCTAATCAGTACAAAACAAGTGCCAATCAATGTATTTTCATCGGCTTATTAAAGTGCACAATTTTAGATTAAATAGTACTATGTACCTACTGATATGAAAGCTTTTTGCTACATAAACATATAATACAATTAGCTATCTATTAGATAATATTTTAACAGAAGAGAAAACAGCAGCGATAGATATTTTTTATATTTTTTTAAATATATTTTTAATGTCACGTTCTAAAATGGTCCACTACTATTTACACGTAAGGTGAATAAAAATGCATTATATAATATTTAAATTTTAGGGGTTGCCATATTAAATAATACTTTTTATTGAGACTAGAGAGTCTGAATTCTTAGCCGCTTTTAAATACCGCTTTAATTTAAATGTTTAAATAAGAAACATTTATTGAAGTTGGTTATTTATACATATATGTATATTTATCTTATTATCTATTTAATTGAATTCAACATCAAATTGACATTTATAATTGATGCGTATTTTTAATTTTAGAACTGTTTTTATAATTTTTAATAAAGTTTAGTGCAACTTAGGGATACATTTTTGTTTACTTATGATTTTGCCGAGCATAGATATAGAACACAAGATTTTAAGCGAATAGACAAGACATTTGTTTTTCTACAAAAGCATTTCGATACATTTGAATTAGGAACATTACCTTTTTAAAACACCAATATGTAATTAGGTGCCGTAGAGAGCCTTGCTATTTTGGGACGTGCAACACATTTTAATATTTTACATAGATAAGCAGTTCAATGATTATTGTCGAGAGACATACGAATTAATTTAATTAATATACACAAAGTTTGTATGTAATTGACGTTCACTAGTTAAGTAGGTATTGGGATCATTTCATTTAATTTTCAAACAATATAAGACCTATCTTTTATTTGTTACTTGCTATCTCTACGTGTACGAAGCAGACCGAAAGCGGTCGAACGTTGTCAAATGTGTATAGCCAACATCAGAACACGAATTTAAAAACTACATAATTAGCGTTGGTCATAATAAGGACATTCCATTCATTTAACGGCACAATTTTATTTTTATTTAAAAATAGGGATCATGTCACAATAATTGAATAAAGTAAATTTTTATATATTTTATGATTTAATTGACACTTACGTTAACAAGTTCTTCGTTAGTTTACACGTCAAATATTTTCTCTGACGCTTTAGAATCGTTGTAGGCAGAGAAAATGTTTCTCTAACAGCAGCTAAGTATTCAATATACTTGTTAAACTTTATAACAATTCTAAAGAGCGAGTATGAAGTTTGAGTGAAGCATCTCTTTAAGTCCACAATCTCTAATCTAGCCTATAGTGTTTTGCTACCGGGGTATATCTAAATTATGTAGGTAATTAAACATTGACTATACGCGCTAGTTGTTCGAACGTTTGTATTTGAGCGATGGTAAGGCTCGTTTTGGTCTAATTTAAGCTTTACACGAGTAGATTACACCTTAAACTAGTATGGCCATTATTTAAGACCATGGTGTATAAAATATGTTGGTTTTCGCACGTAAGCTATAAGGTAGCTGAGTACTTATACAAATTGAGAATAGCTCAGCTATCTTCGTGTTTAGGCTCTTAACATTAAAATTAACAAAAACGGAAAATACTAATCTAATGAAAATATCTAAGTAAATATGTTTGGTATTTTTTAAATAGACACGCACATTATTATAATATTATATCTAAATAGATCACAGAATTGGAATGGGGTGGTGCTTTAATAAAGGAAGAAGAAATCTTGAGGTATTTGGATCGACATGGAAAACTGGTGTTTGGAAGATGGGTAGCTTCGAATAGGGTTATACCTTCTAACTACTATGAAGATTAAGGCTTTAAGCTAACATTGTTAACATTAAATCGAGGTACGTACATTTAATTGGGATATAGTAGGTCATTACGATATACGAAGTCTTATATACAATATTCTATATAAAATAAAGAGGTAAGAATATTTGAATGTTCAATACTTTCGTGGAAGATCAGAATATTGAAAAAACTAGTTAGAACTCTATTTACATTCGAACTACAGTTGCCACTACCGAATAGCTGTAGTAAAAAGTACAAAACTGTGATAAAAAATCAAATATCCTCATTCCTATTGTAGTAATTCGTCGAACATCGATGTTTTGTAATAAAAATATAATTTACAAAATTATATTCACGCTAAAACTAATAATTTAGACTACATAATATACATTTATATTTGAAAAGTGACTAAGTCATAATGTATTTTTAAATAATATCACAAAGAAAAACGGCTTATTTATAGTACACATTACGATAATCGCGACTAGATAAGTTTTCAAAATGTCAGTTTACTAAAACTATGCAAATATTCATAAGATATTTAGATATACGTTAAAGCGAATTATTCATTATGCTTCAAGTCACATATACGTAGACAACACGCCACAGAAACAGGTTAACAGTAACAATATATACATACATGTCTTTACTGGGTAGGCTGAAGACATTTTACATTTAGGTACTTTTATATCAATTTCAGTTTGAATCGTCTTATTCATAAACACCCAATAAGTCCATAATAGATATAGGTAGAATGAAGACAAAACATTCTGTAGCTTTAACAGCCCAATTTTCGTGTTTGCGACTAAACATGTGACATAAAATGTCTTTCTTGGATAACAATCATGTTAAAAGTGCAATATTTACACGCCAACCATAAAATCATCGAACAGCATACAATATTCTTGTTGTTCCACATTCACATAAGTAAAGATAGGTACTGAGATTCTCACGAGTAGGTAGAAAATAGCTATTTGTGCGTAAGCAACTCTAGTGCTCACAAAGCTATTTACGACAATATTATTTAACTAGTTTCATTTCTATTTGCTTGTCTCCTCCATTCATTGTATTTGTAGTAATACAGAAATACTGACAAATATTTCTTAGGTATATTGCCTACCTGTCAAAAGCGTGTGTTAAATTAAAAATATTCGCTTAACTTTATTCATAAATAAACACTAGCAATTCTATTGTAAAAGTGTTTAGAAATATTATTCCACCTCGGACCGCTAAAGTCCTACACGCTAACTATATTTTTTTACATTATAAAAGATACACTGAAACTAACATCGATGCTTTTCATTAATCATAAGACAATAGCGTTTTTACAAAACTTAACTAGTTTTGGTAATACATATTACGTAAATAAAATAAATCATAATAACTACTAAACATAGGCCGGTAATTGATTTAAGTTTAAATAATAGTGTTTGTTTCACGAAATTCATTCATAATTACTATTAATCCGTTGGTTTACTTTCAAGTCATATCCATCATATTCTTACATCCAATTCGATTCCAAATTCAAATGACACCACCAACAACGCGAGATTTCACATTGTTGGTTTTGACAGAACTTCCAATCATGCCAACATAATGAAAACAAACGTCAAAAAATTAAACATGGCGCCGGTTGGAAAATTAATAGGTCGAAACACAATCTGGGTGCGTGTAGTATCCGAAGACGTTCAGTTCGTAGAGACTGGCTAGAGTTATGAAGAGGATGTACCATACCATCAGTACAGCGCCGTACTTGCGATCTAACTTCCAGCCGTTTGCGTGGGTCGCCACTACCAGGAAGATCACAGTGGAGAATAGAGAGAGGGTCGAGTAAATCAGACCTGAAAATGAATTATATTCTAAATTAAGTTTCGTATTACAATAAACCGGTACAAAATATGAACTCCTGGGTGCTTACCCTTGAAACCAATCTTAATGTCAATGCAATTATAACCCGTGGTAAGCCGGAACGTAGATCTACGCGAGACACAATGTGTTTTCTATTGTGTCTCATATACCGGCACTCAAGAGGATAATCCAATAAATATTCAATATCAAAACTATACAACACCTATCGTAGCTGTTAAAATAGTATTCAGAGTACGGAATATAAAACCAAATTCAATACCATTAAGTTCATTAAATATCAATGCAATACGAATGCAATGGGCGCTAGTGTTGCATATCAAGAGTACGCAATTTTACAATACCAATGTCGATGGATCGGAATTGAATCCCCCTGGAATAAGAACTGTGAGAATGAGCAAATACTTTTCTTTCTGAACTGAAATGTCAGTATTTCGCATAGAGCAACTGGTTTATATCTATTGCCCTTTACTACCTAACGTTAAAAACGTTCATTTTATGGCGGGAATCGAAACGGCGACACTACATACAGCAGTTAGTCACAATAAATGTTTAAAGAAATAAACAAAGATAGTGAAAGAAACTAAATAGAACAGGTTATTTACATAAATATACTGCGAAAAGCTGTACTAGTTTTGAGTCTAGAGGAATTCTTCCTCATGAGCAGCGTGCGCGGTCGAGGCGACGTCGCGCAGCCTACTGCAGGTTGCAGGCTACTATAGTAGAGCTTTCCTCAGTATATTCACGTGAGTAACCCGTCGTTTATAGTGAACTAGCTTTTACCCGCGGCTTCGCTCGCGTCACAAAAGGATAAAAAGCCAATGTGACATATACCAATACACACAGCGCCATCTATACTAATACTTTTGTTTTTCCTCGGGAATAGCTGATTTCTTTATTGAAACAAAGACTACAAAGAGTTTCCTTTTCTTGTATAGAAGCACTAATTCTATGGATTGTCAGTATGCATATGTGAGCACCATGTTGGACTTCAAGATTTTTATATTTTTTTTTAATTTTAGTAAGTTATTAGTATAATTCGTCAAGCATGTCTTTGCATTGTTCTTACATATACGTACAGTAGGTATTGAAATATGTATCAGAGACATTGTAGAACATACTTTTTTTAAAAAGAGTAACGAATGGAGTTTCTTGCTCGTTCTTCTCCATTCGAATCTACTTTTTGGAATGAGCACCTAGCTTCACCTAGTTTCACTGACGGACTGACTGACAGACTATTATTTATTTTGTATTTGTTGACGTTTCAAAAGTACCAAACTATGGTTTAATTGAAATAAATGCTTTGACTTTGACTTTGAATATCAAATTTTTCCTGGGATTACAAGGAACCCTGTTATTTAATCCGGACTTCTAACTATACATCTGCAAAAATTCACAGTAATCGGTCTAGTAGTTACGACGTGAATGCGGAACAAACAAACAGACTCACTTTCCGATTTATAATATAGTAGGTAAGGATTTAGTATGTTTCACAATAGTTATGAAAACACGATAGTGGAAGGCCTTACCTTTATGGTAAACGTTGACGTGTGAGCCGGGGTGTATGATGGCGGTCTGTATGAACCACGGCAGCCCGAGACACACCAATATGTCGAACACGTTGGACCCGACCGCGTTTGACACCGCCATGTCACCGTAACTGAGCGAAAATGAAAAACATTTTCACTTTAAACTGTCAAACACCAAGCGGTCACCGGTGACTGCGACCTATTGTTCTTTAATTGTGTCTATAAAACCGGTACTCGACGAGTTAAATAAATTAATAATAACTTTATTGATATCAACAACTTTTTCTACATTAATCAAAAATACGTTTAAAAAAAACTGACTTCAACCCCCCTTTTTTTTGAAGTCGGTTAATTTATATACTAAAACCTTCTCCTAAGTGTAATACTTTTTTAAAATCCGCATAAAAATCAGAGGTTCAGACAATCGCGTAATAATAGCGCACCTCCTTTTAAAGTCAGTAAAAATATTTTATTGTTGGTTTCAGAATTTATATTTTATACAATGATATCTGAATATGAATATTTATTACAGAAAAGGTATTATGAAACCCTGCCTCCTAAACTAGGGGAAAACTGTGACTTAGGACTGTAGGAGTCAATGTTTTTTTTGTTTTATTTCTTGTAGCATATACTACATTATACTCCTTCAAAAAATGCTTGTATGGGCTCATACAAGCATTTTTTGAAGGAGTATAAGACTCTTGCTGATTGAAAACCATTTCGACTGTTGTTCCAAGCCGAGATCACGGCAACTTTTTGCGCTTCTAGGATCCGGTAACCAATAATATCCCTGACAATACCACCTACCAAATATCAATAGGAGCTACCGTGTTTATTGTCACCATTTGGCGCAAATATCGAAGCAGTTTTTGTCCAATCATAGCAACTGTCAAATATTAAACGTTCAATAGTATGACACTAATTAATTTCCTATTGGTCGAACAAGGAGAGGGTTACAATAGCGTCATCTAGTTAGAAAAATACGGTAGGCTTCATTCAATTCAATTCAATTTGAATTTTTTTTAAAACGTTGCCCCTGTTTAGTATTTTCTTCTGTTTCGTGGGTGCGTTTACAAACATACAAGTTCACATACATACACATGACACCCAGACCCGGAACAACGATCTGTGGATCACACATAGCGTTGCTCCGTGCGGGAATCGAACGTTGCGCGGCAGTCAGTTGCCCAGCCATTCTACTTAAATATTTGATTCTCTATTTTATTTTCAAACATCTTCAAAGTCTTTAAACTTACCCCTCTTTGATGACGGCGAGCGAGGAGAGTGCGTCGGGCACCGACACGCCGGCCGCTACGAACGTCAAGCCCATCACCGTGTCAGGAATTCCCAACGTGTAGCCTGGGGAACAAAATTATTTAATTAAGTTTGGGAGAGTTCGCTTCGGCACAAATGAGCCAGCTTGACCGGAGTGATACCACGGCGTCACAGAAAACCGACGCGAAACAACTTGCGTTGTGATTCGTCGTTTGAGCGAGGTTACTGGAGGCCCAATAACCCCTCCCTTCCTCAATCTTCCCAATCCCAGAATCTCCAACAGTCCTCAAATGACTAATCCCCAAAAGGTCAGTAACGCACTTATAACACCTCTGGTGTTCCAGGTGTCCATGGGCGATACGTCGGTTCGTTTACTTACCGGCTTATCCCATAAAAATGTCTTATTTCTTACTTACCTATATCTATAGATATAAATAAAATTTAATTTCCGTTCGTTGGTCTCGCTAAAACTCGAGAACGGCTGAACCGATTTGGCCCTTTTTCGGTCCTAAAATGTTCGTGGATGTCCAGGGAAGGTTTAAAAGGGGAGAAAAAAATTTTGGCGGTACGAAGTTTAACGGATCATCTAGTTTATTATATATGTGGAAATCTGTGAGTTTGTGTGTGTGTATGTCTGTTTGTTACTCAATCACGTCAAAACGGCTGACAGGATCGGAATAAATTTGGAACAAGGATAGATTGTGATCTGGAATATATGGGCTACTTTTATCCCACGAGAACGCGAGCAAACCCGCGTTTGCAATCTAGTATCTTATAAGTTGGCTACTAGATGAACATTAGTATTAAGGACACTAGTATTATCTTTTACTATACTTAATCTTTTATTAAAAACTAGTAACAGTCAGTAAAATTAAAATATTCATCCTTGAAAGGCTCTCTACTTTCAGATTATGTTTAAAACTTAATAAGATTTTCTAAGATAAGCTCTGCTTTGGAACACTAACCATTATTTTGAAGAGAACTAAAGAAAACGTATTGATTGAAGGTGGTTTCTGTTACACATGCTCTAAAATGGCATACTAAAATTGAACGGCTATATATTCGCAAGCGTGCCTGAATTCTAATGCCTGCATTCTAATTTTGAACAACATTCCGACACCCATCCTATTCAGCCGCATGTCGTGGTGGCCCGGAGGTTTAAGACGCCCGCTTCTCATATGAAGGGTACGGGTTTTAAAAAGTACCAAGGTGACTTTTTCCGAGTAATATGTATGTACTTTCTAAGATTATCTAGACACCACTGACAACCGGTAAAGGAAAACATCGTGAGGAAACCTGTATATGCTTATAATTTCTAATTATAAGTTTGTAATCGCCAATCCGCATTGAGAAAGCGTTGTGATTAATGCTGAGACCTCCGGGTGAGAAGACGCTTTGCTCTTGACTTTGCTCCTGACTTTGCAGTGGGCATTTATAGGCTGTTGATGATGATAATCATGATGATCCTTTTAAGCGATAAGTGCTCAATTGAAGCAAGCTTTTGTGCTTGAAATAAGCATGTGTAACAATACCTCATGGGATAAACAATAGACCTTTTTTTAAGGGGGGAAAATCATCAAATGACTGCTCCCGCCTGGGTGAGGCGGGAGGGAGTGTCAGACTCTTATTGATTAAAAACCCGTTCCTACTCCTGCACTTTAAGCCGGAGGGAGCCCCGGTAACCTGTTAGGTTCTCCGTGACAAACAATAGACCTTAAGTTAGTCACAATAGAAGACAATAACAGCTACAGAGTGCATACATGTGTCCACAGTGAGTAGTGACGCACAAGGTCATTATAGATTGACATGTTTCACTGAGTCATTACTACGTCCTGCCGATGAACTATTTATATTACGTTGTTTACATGTTTTGTTGAATGTCTATCTGTCCATTTTCGTACGACGTAAAGAAACATTTGACCATTTTTCATTTTACCAACTTTTTTCTTATTGTAAAAATGCCTCTTAGCTTGGTTGCTTAGCAACGGAAATTGAATGGTGAAGCACGAGTTGTTACAGAAGTATTATTCTTTTCTGTCCAGTGTACTGGCCTGTAAGTCAGTCACCTACGATGAAATACAAGTGTAACCATTTAGGTACCTTCCATGAATAGGTACTCAAGTATTTTTATACTTGTACATAAGGCGAGTCACGCATAAAACTTAAGTTTCAAATCCACGCAACAATAAAATTTAAATAAATATTTATTTCTATTTGCGAACAATCTATTTTGTTTGTTCAGTTGTACTAATTTCTACGGATGTCTGGTTTTATAAAAGTATGAATGGTAATTAGTAACGCTATTTATATTTGCAATTGCAATAAGTAATAGAAGTACAATAATATTGACGTACTGTTGTCGATGCACCGCCATATAAAGGGCTCGGTACAAGCAGCAGCAACATATGGTAATGGCACTGACGAACTCGGGCTGTGATGGCGATTAATTACCCGGTATGTACATTTTCATTACTTCAGAGAATAATCTAATATTTTCTTTGATTTTGCAAAAGTGACTTCAGTTGAGACACACGCACACCAAAATGTTTGTGTACAACGTACTGATAGTTGAAATAAACTTCAGTAACACATTAATAATATTAGAGTATTATAAACCTTATCTTACTTATCTATAATCAACAGAGTCGAATTACAATCCAGCAGCCGTAGCCAAATGCCATTTAGCGCTTGTCTACATGTAGAATAGAAAACCAAATTATATGGAATTGACGTAAATTTTGACACTTGTCAGTGTAATCCCCAAACATTTTAATTTCTACTCTCTCTGTAGACAAGCGCTAAAGTGGCGTTTGGCTAAAGGCACAGGATTTAATGCCGAATACGACGTCTGCCATCGCGCCAAAGTATAAAGAATTGTCAGTTTACAAACAAATATACTTAATTATTCTAAAATGACTCTTACGGCAAGAGGAATAGGGCTAAATAAGACTATAGCAACAATCCATCAAATGTATTTTAATTTAACATTGTTTACAGATCTTCGTGATCGTTGTGGCCGGCTTAACTGGCCTAATCTCGTTAAGAAGCGTGTACGCCTTCCCACCAGCAAATAGTGTTGGAGCAGCAAAGTCAAGAGAAATCCCTAGACAAGCCAATGCCACAAACACCATAACAAGTGGACAAGAGTCGACGCCAGTCAATGATACTAATCAATCACAGAATGAGACCATGGACTGCACTTGTCCAGATCGAGTAGACCCTTTTCCAGTACCTCCTGAACCTCCAGTACCTGACACGGAAGTTCCTGCTTCAGATGATAACACCAATTGTCCTCCAGATAACGAAAACCGTCCAGATGACAACAATCCTCCAGATAACAATCGTCCATGTAACGACAATCCTCCAGACAATAAACCTCCACCAGATAATGAAGACTGCTCTTGTGACGACAAAGCCGAACCTATTCCTGTAGACCCCATTCCTCGATCAAAAGATGATTGTGACAGTTCGCCAGAGGAGCCCAGTCCTCCTTCAAATGAGTCCAAGCCAGGTGACGACAATTCTACTCCAGATCATGAACTTCCACCAGATAGTAAAGACTGCTCTTCTGATGACGAATCCGAACCTATTCCTGTAGACCCCGTTCCTCGACCAAAGGATGATTGTAACAGTTCGCCAGAGGAGCCCAGTCCTCCTTCAAATGAGTCCAAGCCAGGTGACGACAATTCTACTCCAGATCATGAACTTCCACCAGATAGTAAGGACTGCTCTTGTGACGACAAAGCCGAACCTATTCCTGTAGACCCCGTTCCTCGACCAAAGGATGATTGTAACAGTTCGCCAGAGGAGCCCAGTCCTCCTTTAAATGACTCCAAGTCAGATGACGACAATTCTACTCCAGATCATGAACTTCCACTAGATAGTAAAGACTGCTCTTCTGATGACGAATCCGAACCTATTCCTGTAGACCCCATTCCTCGACCAAAGGATGATTGTAACAGTTCGCCAGAGGAGCCCAGTCCTCCTTTAAATGACTCCAAGTCAGATGACGACAATTCTACTCCAGATCATGAACTTCCACCAGATAGTAAAGACTGCTCTTCTGATGACGAATCCGAACCTATTCCTGTAGACCCCGTTCCTCGACCAAAGGATGATTGTAACAGTTCGCCAGAGGAGCCCAGTCCTCCTTTAAATGACTCCAAGTCAGATGACGACAATTCTACTCCAGATCATGAACTTCCACCAGATAGTAAAGACTGCTCTTCTGATGACGAATCCGAACCTATTCCTGTAGACCCCATTCCTCGACCAAAGGATGATTGTAACAGTTCGCCAGAGGAGCCCAGTCCTCCTTCAAATGAGTCCAAGCCAGGTGACGACAATTCTACTCCAGATCATGAACTTCCACCAGATAGTAAAGACTGCTCTTCTGATGACGAATCCGAACCTATTCCTGTAGACCCCATTCCTCAACCAAAGGATGATTGTAACAGTTCGCCAGAGGAGCCCAGTCCTCCTTCAAATGAGTCCAAGCCAGGTGACGACAATTCTACTCCAGATCATGAACTTCCACCAGATAGTAAAGACTGCTCTTCTGATGACGAATCCGAACCTATTCCTGTAGACCCCATTCCTCGACCAAAGGATGATTGTAACAGTTCGCCAGAGGAGCCCAGTCCTCCTTCAAATGAGTCCAAGCCAGGTGACGACAATTCTACTCCAGATCATGAACTTCCACCAGATAGTAAAGACTGCTCTTCTGATGACGAATCCGAACCTATTCCTGTAGACCCCGTTCCTCGACCAAAGGATGATTGTAACAGTTCGCCAGAGGAGCCCAGTCCTCCTTTAAATGACTCCAAGCCAGGTGACGACAATTCTACTCCAGATCATGAACTTCCACCAGATAGTAAAGACTACTCTTCTGATGACGAATCCGAACCTATTCCTGTAGACCCCATTCCTCGACCAAAGGATGATTGTAACAGTTCGCCAGAGGAGCCCAGTCCTCCTTCAAATGAGTCCAAGCCAGGTGACGACAATTCTACTCCAGATCATGAACTTCCACCAGATAGTAAAGACTGCTCTTCTGATGACGAATCCGAACCTATTCCTGTAGACCCCGTTCCTCGACCAAAGGATGATTGTAACAGTTCGCCAGAGGAGCCCAGTCCTCCTTTAAATGACTCCAAGCCAGGTGACGACAATTCTACTCCAGATCATGAACTTCCACCAGATAGTAAAGACTACTCTTCTGATGACGAATCCGAACCTATTCCTGTAGACACCATTCCTCGACCAAAGGATGATTGTAACAGTTCGCCAGAGGAGCCCAGTCCTCCTTTAAATGACTCCAAGTCAGATGACGACAATTCTACTCCAGATCATGAACTTCCACCAGATAGTAAAGACTGCTCTTCTGATGACGAATCCGAACCTATTCCTGTAGACCCCATTCCTCGACCAAAGGATGATTGTAACAGTTCGCCAGAGGAGCCCAGTCCTCCTTCAAATGAGTCCAAGCCAGGTGACGACAATTCTACTCCAGATCATGAACTTCCACCAGATAGTAAGGACTGCTCTTGTGACGACAAAGCCGAACCTATTCCTGTAGACCCCGTTCCTCGACCAAAGGATGATTGTAACAGTTCGCCAGAGGAGCCCAGTCCTCCTTCAAATGAGTCCAAGCCAGGTGACGACAATTCTACTCCAGATCATGAACTTCCACCAGATAGTAAGGACTGCTCTTCTGATGACGAATCCGAACCTATTCCTGTAGACCCCGTTCCTCGACCAAAGGATGATTGTAACAGTTCGCCAGAGGAGCCCAGTCCTCCTTCAAATGAGTCCAAGCCAGGTGACGACAATTCTATTCCAGATCATGAACTTCCACCAGATAGTAAAGACTGCTCTTCTGATGACGAATCCGAACCTATTCCTGTAGACCCCATTCCTCGACCAAAGGATGATTGTAACAGTTCGCCAGAGGAGCCCAGTCCTCCTTCAAATGAGTCCAAGCAGGTGACGACAATTCTACTCCAGATCATGAACTTCCACCAGATAGTAAGGACTGCTCTTGTGACGACAAAGCCGAACCTATTCCTGTAGACCCCGTTCCTCGACCAAAGGATGATTGTAACAGTTCGCCAGAGGAGCCCAGTCCTCCTTCAAATGAGTCCAAGCCAGGTGACGACAATTCTACTCCAGATCATGAACTTCCACCAGATAGTAAGGACTGCTCTTGTGACGACAAAGCCGAACCTATTCCTGTAGATCCCGTTCCTCGACCAAAGGATGATTGTAACAGTTCGCCAGAGGAGCCCAGTCCTCCTTCAAATGAGTCCAAGCCAGGTGACGACAATTCTACTCCAGATCATGAACTTCCACCAGATAGTAAGGACTGCTCTTGTGACGATAAAGCCGAACCTATTCCTGTAGACCCCGTTCCTCGACCAAAGGATGATTGTAACAGTTCGCCAGAGGAGCCCAGTCCTCCTTCAAATGAGTCCAAGTCAGATGACGACAATTCTACTCCAGATCATGAACTTCCACCAGATAGTAAGGACTGCTCTTCTGATGACGAATCCAAACCTATTCCTGTAGACCCCGTTCCTCGGCCAAAGGATGATTGTAACCGCCCGCCAGAAAAGTCCAGGCCTTCTCCAATTGACTCCAAGCCACATGACAGAAATTCTACTCCAGATCATGAACTTCCACCAGATAATAAAGACTGCTCTTGTGACGACGTAGCTGAACCTATTCCTGTAGACCCCATTCCTCGAACAAAGGATGATTGTAACAGTTTGCCAAAGGAGTCCAGGCCTCCTTCAAATGATAATACCGATCCACCTTTAGATACTGACTGTTCAGATCCTGAATCTGTTCCTGCAGACCCTTAAGCCTTCGTCATGAGATAATCCTACTAAGTAATAATATTGCTTTTATTTTGAAAAGTAAAAGCATAATGATCTTTATGAACCATTAGAGCTCCTTATTTTGTTTTTATATTTAAGTAGATTTTTTAGCCTACAAAAATTGTAACATAGTATATTTCTATACATTTTTTTCTATTAACATTTGGGTACTTAATTGCCAACTAGTCAAATTCAATACTTTTTTCGAACTGTCAAAAACGACCGTTGTCTATGAATTTGGTACGAGATGAATATACTGCGACGGCACGTTTATTTAGCGTCAAACAGCATACTTATTTCTTAAAATAAAAAAAAATTGCTGGAAAAGTAATAAAATTAATTTGTTTCAAAAGACAGTTAATGAATGTGTGATTTTTTTTTATTTTATTGTATTGAATAGTCGAAATAATTTATTTTAGTGTAAAGAATACCCAATTGAGTTTAGTGTACATTGTAAAATAAGTGATAGTTTGTAGTTAAGTTAGATGTACTTAGTAAGCGATTTTCTATAACTTAAGAATAATTAAATAAGGTATCATTAACTTGTGACAAATAAATGTATTTGTATTTTAATTTTTATAGACCTAATACTCGTTATATTTTTGAAACAATGGCTACAATATGTGTTTATTGTGACGTCACGTTTTTTTTTGCGTCAAATAGCATACCCATTTCTTAAAAAAATTGCTAGAAAAATACTAAAATTAAGTTAGACATAAATGAATTAAGTAATGAAAGCGTGATTATTTTTTAACATTTTATTATATTGAACAGTCGAAATAATTTATTTGTGATTAAGGAAAGTACCCAATTTGTTATCAAATTAACTTTTCGATTGGCTGAAGTAAGAGAGCTTGTATCATTTCTCACACAAGTAGACACTTGTACAAAAATAAAAAAATATAACTTAGGACATCCTAAGTTTTTGTTTAAGGGATTTTTTGTCTCCTCAAAAGTATACAAAATAAAAGGACAAAGTAAGGAAAATACACCGTACCTACAGTGGCCAGCAGATCAACATCTGTCAAATTTAATTATTGGACTTATGTCAATACAATAAAGTTGAAAATGTAATAGAGAAAGTTGATAGAAAAATATCAAAGGTAAAGGTTAGTTCGACTAGCTGCCACCGTACATCATACATTATTCATCATCATCATTAGCATATTATAACCAAACCAAAGGCCTCTTCTCACACGGATAAGATTTAAGCATTAATCATCACGCTTGGTCAAGGCGGATTGGTGATTTCAGACTTATAATTACAGAAATTATAAACCTAATTTTCCCCACGATGTTTTTCTTCACACGCATATTACTGGTATCTTCTTTTTTGTTTTAAGGGCGGAAAATCATCGAATAACTTCTCCCGCCTTAGGTAAAGCGTGAGGGAGTGTCAGACTCTTACTGACTAAAAGTAGCCCTTTTTTTGAGGGGGGGAAATCATCCAATGACTTCTCCCGCCTTGGGTTGGCGAGAGGGAGTGTCAGACTCTTACTGACTAAAAACCACCCCGTTCCTAGACTAAAAAGAGCCCGTTAAGTTCACCTAGTGTCTAAAGAAGAACCTTAGAATACACTTACCAATAATAGTGATCATCCACACCATGAAGTAGGAGTAGAAGGAGATCCACAGCATGCTGATGATGAAGGTGACGGGGTACCATCGTCCGCGGCAGTCGGGCATCGTGTGGCGACACGACCAGTGGATCGGGAACACTAGGTACCACCAAGCTAGTTGGAAGTGGTCTGTAAGGGACACAAGGTTAGGTTTCTGTTGGTTATTGATTATATCTGACTCTAAGGGATATTGTCTAATTATTTTATGTCTTTAAACCGTTGCCTACACTAAGATTTTCTTCTGTGTCATGTCGTGGGTGCGTTTACAAACAAACAAGTTCACACACACAAGATACCCAGACACGAAACAACAATTTGTGAATCACACAAAGAGTTGCTCCATGCGGGAATCGAACCTGCTACACGTTGCCAGCCATCGCACCAACCGTGGAGTTGTAAAAATTAAAATCTATTATTTTAATCAACCCCTAAACGCTCTAATCCTAAGTTACTTTTGACACATCGAAATTGAATTGTCCGTCAGTCTGTCCATCAGTGAAGATACTCGTTCCAAAGTGAAGATTGGATAGTAATAACACAGGAATACTGTTACATTTAAATCATACACACTGTGATCTTTCAAACCATGAGTTTATTATATAGATCTAAATGCAAAGAACTTGGGAATGGCTGACTGACAAACACTTACTGGCTCCGATTGGTTTGACGAGAGGATCCACGGCGGTCTCAGGGTTGTACTCCTTGGCCTTGTAGTAGGCGGGGGCTGCTGGCTGCAAGTTACAAATTGAGGTTATAATGCCCGAATACTTAAAGACTGCTGTAACGAAACAATTCGATTCCGGTTTGTGTCGGACGCACGCGCGCAACTCTTGTGGCAACACGCCACGTCACTATTCCTTTTCCCCCGCTTCCCCGCCACTGACCGCTTGACGCTTGCGTAGGGGAGCGACACAGAACAACGAGTCCCGCGCCGGAGCCGGACCAGACCAGTAATTTCGGAGATTACCACGATCAAACAAACAGACAGACTCTTCAGCTTTATACATACAATAGTATATAAGACTAATATTTAAAGTTGAAGAGTTTGTTTTTTTGTTTGTTTGTTTGTTTGAACGCGTTAATCTCCGAAACTACTGGTCCGATTTGAAAAATTCTCTCTGTGTTGGATAGCCCATTCATCGAGGAAGGCTATAGGCTAAAACATCACGCTGCGATTTTTCTATAAAGTTTTCTATAAAAAAAAAAAAAAAAACGTCGTTCCAGTTGCATATTCACTTGAGTCATGGGAGCGTTTGTCCTTCATAATCGTGCAAGTATACAACAGAATGTTGCACGAACCTGTTGCGCTGGTTGTTGTCCGTCAGGTTGTTGCGGTTGCGTGGTTGCAAGTTGTTGCTCCTGCGACTGTTGCTGTGTCTGTTGCGCGGGCTGGTACGCGTTGTAGATTGGTGTTTGCATCTGAACAAGGATTTATTATAGGTACTGATTAACTTAATTAAGATAACTACGCAATTAAAAAATCTGACTTAACCTTCTTTTTTATCTTTAACCTACTTTTAAGTGGCAAAATACCTTTCTTGGAAACACATTAAGCCTTTGACTGCCGCGCCGATAGAAAACTGTTAAGGGTAAATCCTCCGCTATCGTGGCCCATACCATATCCCCCATGGCGTTTAAGGTGTTAAAATAGGTCCAGCCAATCGTGAGATAATATATACAGCTCAAAACTCTTTTTTCTGAAGTCGTTTAGTAACAGGCAACATAATTAGGTTCACGAACGGTACTATCTTAGTATTTTTTAAGAAGAACCATGACCATTAACAAATAAGATAAGTGACTAAATAAATATGCAGTTACCGTATCGTCCCAAGCTCGGTTAGGGTCCCAGGCCTGGTTGGGGTCCCACGCGGGGGCGGGCTCCGCGTTATAAGCTGCGTTGTCATACGCCCCGCCTGGATTATAGGCTGCTGGGACAAAGATACTTATTAATATTTTAATCATCAACAGCCTATAAGTGGCCACTGCTGACCAACGGCCTCTTCTCACTCGGAGAAGATTTGAGCATTAATCACCACGCTTGCTCAATGCGAGATTTTAACTTAATTAGAAATTATAAGTCCAGGTTACCTCACGATGTTTTCCTTCATCGTTTGTCAGTGGTGTCTAAATATTCTTAGAAAGTACATATAACTCGGAAAAAGTCACATTAGTACTTGCCATTGCTAGGTTTCAAACCCTCAACTACTAAATAAAGTGGTTTTATGAATTTGGGGTAACTTTAAAAACTTACGAGATTCCTGAAGAGGAGTCTCCTTGGTCTGTCCGTCCATCTGTGCGTACGTAGTGTCTCCTGCCGCGGCCGGGGCTGGGAGCTGGCCACCTGCACTCCTATATTGTAACGAAACGAAATATCATTCAAAAACAATATACGAACAACTAAGAAGAAGAAGAAACTTAACGTGTTGTATTAAAACATGTATGTTGTAAAATAAAATAAATTAAAATTTACTGAATAAAGAAACTTTTCCCTTTTTTCCCTTTTTTTAATAATCTTCGTATCCATGTGCGTACCTCCTGTCGAATAAATGCTTTTTCTTTGTTGTTTTTAATTCAACTGACCCATCATGGGTGCCAATAGTAATATGGCGCCCAACACGGGACCAACATTTTTAATAAACATTTTATTCAATTGCTCAAATTCATTAATTCATCGCCAAACTTCTCCTCCATTGGAGTAAAATCAATGGAACGCCATGATAATTCCGGAATACCTCTATCGCTTCATCTATATTCATCAAGATCTTCATGCATCCTAGTCATTTGAGGGTGCTCTTAATTTGCCCTTTGGGAAACAAGCAGATGATTCGCCTAATGGTAAGTAACTGGCGCCATCCAAAGAAACCCACTACAAAATAACAAGTGTGTTGCCGACCTTTTGTGGAGCTAAGGATTTTAGATTTGAGGTTGAAGAGACAAGGGTGGGGAGGAATTTGGCTTCCGGTAACTTCATGGCGAAACACTACGCAAGCATTTACACGTCGGTTTTCTCTGAGGCCGTGTTACCACTCCAGTGGAACCTATGCCCATTTGTACTGAAGTATGGCTCCCCTACTCTTAAAACTTTGTCATTTATTTATTCATATTACACAACTAATTCAGTTTACATACAACTAATTCAGTACATTACCCTGCAGCAATTTAAAACGTTACAAAATTTAATATCAGCTGAAATTTATAAGTATTTTTTAGAGCTATAACTGTACCTATATATTAACTATTCTATAGATTTTTTTAAAATATTTATTTAAGGGATGTCTCTTCATGTATTCTCGTCCAAGGAGGATGCTTTAAAATGGACCCTTTTTTAATTGTCCAGTGATTCTAAATACTAACCTGTAGGTGACTAAAGCAGCCTGTTCTTCTCTGGTGGGTAGCTTGAATGGTAGTGGGAGCGTCATCGCCCAGCGTTCGAGTGCAGTGTTGAATCGTAACGCGACACAGTATACACCATACATTATCAACATGAATAGTGCTTCCGGCCTGTGAACATAGAAATTAATTTTGAATTTACTTTTTATGAATAAGAACCAGAGAGTATCAGTCCCTTTAGCCAAACGCCACTTTAGCGCTTGTCTACAGAGAGAGCAGAAATCAAAATATATGGGGATGACACTGACAAGTGTCAAAATTTACGTCAATTCCATATAATTTGGTTTTCTATTCTACATGTAGACAAGCGCTCAATGGCATTTGGCTACAGCTGCAGGAATGAAAATATTATTTTGTTTCTAACTGTATCCTCTTTCTATTAATAAGTGTCTTATTATAAGTGAAGATGTTGTTCGTACATTATGACTGCCTCGTTGGTCGAGTGGTCCCAAGTGCGACTACCACGCAAGGGTCTCCGGTTCGATTAACAGGTCGGGCAAAGTGTTACTGGTTTTTAAAAAAGAAATAATAAATGGCAATAACCTCACCCCCTATTACAATAGTTTTATAATAGAATATTGTATATATTCTTCTCAACAATTAAAATACAATATCAACCAAATATTGTTGTGAAAATTATCAAATGGAACAACTATGTATATTTGACTTAAAACATTTGTAAGATGTTTAAACCCACAGAAAACAATAGGTACATACCAAGAGACAATGGAGTTGGCAATAGTACAGAGCATGACGAGTATTGAGATGGCGTAGAAGAAGCAATCTCTGCAGAGTGGCCACCAGTTGAGGTGTGACACCGTCCCGGCACACAGCGCACACACCGATATCACGAACATTATGTTGAACACTGCTGACCCGATTACACCCGATACTCCTATAGAAAAATAGCAATTAATCAGTTTAATTTATATTATCATCGTTTCCGTCATTAGCCAAAATAAGTAAATTTTTTATGGGATAAGCCGGTAAACGAGCAGACGGATGATGGTAAACAATCGGATTCGCCTATGGACACCTGCAACACCAGGGCGTTACAAGTGCGTTACCGGTCTTTTGGGGATTGGGAATTTGAGGATTGTTGGGGATTCAGGGATTGGAGAGGGCTATTGTCTCCGGTAACCTCACTTACGCGACGAAACACAACGCAAGTGTTGTTTCACGTCGGTTTTCTGTAAGGCAGTGGTATCACGCCGGTCGAGCCGGCCCATTCGTGCCGAAGCGTGGCTCTTCCACATTTTAACATTGCTGTACATTGCTCTAATAGTCACTCTAAACAAGGCATCTTTAGTAGTTTGCTTTGTTACTTTCGTTAAATGGGATAGGAGGGCCAAAGGCTAGTCGTATAATAACCTGATGGTAAGTTATCTATGGACATCGGTAATACTAAAGGATTAATAAAGGAGGAGGATGGAGGAGGGTGAAGAGGAGATTAATGGAGTATAAGTACCTACTTTGTAAGCAGTTTTTGAACCTTGAACAATTCTATTTGAACTTGGATAGTAGTTGATGCGATTAATAAATAAACATGTTTAAAAATCATATACGGCTAGTTCTAAACTTGGTAAATTTGCTTACCGATATCGTCCTGAGCACAGAAGACGCCGATGACGACGGTGGCGAGCTCGGGAGCCGAACTGCCGGCCGCCATGAACGTAGCGCCCGCCACGTCCGGGGCCAACTTCAATTCTACGCACATGTTAATACATAAAGTAGTCATAATCATAGGAAATTAAATCTTCCACGCTTGGCAGGCTATGTTGGAATCGCAGCAAGATTATTGATGAGCAGTTTTACTTTTTTCTTTCATGCTTTTAAATCACCGAAGGTTTAAATTGGTTCCTATTGAAATAAATATTTTTTGGGCTAAAAAACAAATTATTTAACGTATATGTATTAGTTATATATATATAACTTTAATTCACAAGTACCTTCACAGATTCTGTCAAGACTTGAGACGAAGTATTCGTCACATACGATGGCCAGTCCGATGAACGTGAACACAGCTACCAAGATGTGGATGATCAGACCTCCGTGCTTGCGAGCTGACTGGCCCATCAGTGGTTTTGGGAACTAGAAAAAGAAATAAACGCGATGTTAGCCTTAGAACAATCATCATGAACCTGTATTTGATCTAATGCTGAGCAAAGATTGTGGAAAAACATCTACATACTATTATCTATATTTTTTTTTTATTTGAATAGCCGGTAAACGAGCAGACGGATCACCTGATGGTAAGCAATCGGCGTCGCCCATGAACACCCGAAACTCCAGAGGCGTTACAAGTGCGTCACCGGCCTTTTTATTTATTTTTATAATTTAATAATTTAATAAGATTGTCGTAACTTTTACTGTTACAAAAAAAGTTCCTTTAAACAAACAATTTATATATCTTCCTATATCATTATATGTATAAAGTTTGTTTGTTTGTTGCTTTGAACGCGCTAAGCTCCGGAACTGCTGCTCAGATTTGGAAAAATATTTTTGTGTTGATTAGTCCATTTATCGAGGCAGGCTAGGTATAGGCTTATAATACATCACGCTATGGTGAAACCGGAAAGGAGGACAGTACCGTAAAGTAGCTAGGTTCTAATAAATAAATTACCTGTTCAATCGCCGGTGGCGAGCAGTTGACTCGCAAAGGTTTGACCGTGGGATTTGATTTCCAGTTTGATCTCTCTTCCTCGCGCATTTCTTCCGTTTCTTTGTCCTGTAAGACATGTACAAAATTAAAGATTAAAAAAATGACTTCTGTCAATCTATTTTTTTGTTGTCGAATTTCAGTGGTTTTTGCGTTTGAGCAAAACTTGAGATCAGAGACAACCAAGTCATGATTTTTTTTATACTTAAGTATCGATATTATAATTCGAATACTTAAGATCGATGTGTCAATATTTATTAATAAATAATTATTAAAAAATAATGGGAAAACACATGTTCGTCTGACGATTTGTGTCAGAAAATCGGGAAAAACGCTACAACTACCTAAGTATTTAACTTTATCTACGTAAATATAAACCAATACTATAATTGGGTACTTTTCTTAATCAACAATAAATTATATCGACAATACAATACAATATTAAAAAATAATCACACTTTCATTAATTGATTTTACGACAAATTTAATTTTAGTATATTTCCAGCAAATTTAAAATAAAAAATAAGTATGCTGTTTGACGCTAAAAAAACGTGACGTCACAATTCACACTCTCGCACAAAAATCATACAAAACAGTCGTTTTTGACCGTTCAAAAAAAAAGTATTGAATTTGACTAGTTGGCAAGTACCCAATTTGTTAAGATTACTTTTACCAAATTATTTAAAAAACGCGGTTTACTCACGCGAATATACTGAGAAAAGCTCTACTAGTTTCGAGCTACAGAGGGGCTTCTGTAGCTCGAAACTAGTAGGGCTCTTCCTCTGCGGAAGTATGTCTCACAATAATTATTATAAAACCATTACTTTTATCTTTACCAACTTATGTCTATTTACTTCTAATTACATACAACGCCTACTTTAAATAGACAGTATACCTTACAGTAGGCACATTGGTTGAATATAAACGACAGTTTTCTTCTGTACCTCGTTCTTCTAACCTGAGGGAGTTTGCAAACTTTACCATCTACAACTTTTCTTAGTTAATATTGAAACACACCTAAGGTCTATAAAGGGCGTATTACGAGAACGTTTCATGTTTTTTTTAATGGAATAGGAGGCAAACGAGCAGACGGATCACCTGATGGTAAGCGATCAGCGCCGCCCATGAACACCCGCAAAACCAGAGGAGTCACAGGTGCGTTGCCGGCCTTTTAAAAAGGAATACGCTCTTTTCTTGAAGGTTTGAAGGTCGTATCGGTTCGAAAATACCGAGATATAAATACAAATACCGTTTAACGAGACCGCGTTCGATGCTCTGATTGGTCGGCTGCAATGTACCAGCCAATCAGAACGCCGAACGCTGTCTCCTTTCGATCTCGTTAAATGTAAAACGAAATCGTACTAAGGCTTTTTTTAAAGGGGGGAAAATCATCAAATGGCTTCTCCCGCCTGTGTGAGGCGGGAGGGAGTGTGAGACTCTTACTGACTAAAAACCACCCCGTTCCTACTCATGCACTTCGAGCCGGAGCCCCGGTATGGCGAGTGACGAACGCGACGTTGGCACTCCGTGGACACAGTTTTGTCTGTTTCTACGCAAACTGCAAGCATTTGTCTTACAACCGCCAATAGAGACAAACGTATTTTTGCTTACTAGATAACACAAATGTAATTTTAAGTAAAACTCAATACTTCAATACAGTAAAAAGTTTATTTCTACCAGCTTCACAAGATAACCGGATCATGCTGATAACGTTGCAACAGCATGATTACGGACGGAGACGGAGAAATCATAGTATGTTTACTATGATTTCTCCTGTGTCGTGGGTGCATTTACAAACAAATAAGTTCACATACACATTACACTCAGACCAGAAACAACAGACTATATACATTTGTCTAATTCTTCTTTGAAATGTTTTGACGATAGCCTAAATATTTTACGTGTCTTTAACAATATACTTAAGACAATTTTATACCTCAACATAACCGGCATCCTTTTGGTCCTTCTTGTCAGGGTCGTCATCTTCTTCGAGCCCCTTCATGGTCTTCTTACCGCCTGCCTGGGGACTTTCTTCATCTTCTGTCTTCTTCTCCGATGGTGGAGAATCGGGGGCCGAGGATAGTGAGTTCTCATCTGGAAAGGTATGATTGTTCATTGTTCAATTATATTAAGGTGACGAAAGGGGTTTAGTTACAGCGTCTATGTTAACAATTAGTTTAAACAACACTAAATCTTGTAGTTTTAGAGCAAGAAGAAAATTGTGTTGAGGAGCTCAAGAAGATGGACTAGAAGACGATGCCCAAGGCATTAAGTTTACCTGTACCATACTTATTGTATTAAGTTGAATTATTTATTTATTCATATTGCAAAATGTAGAGGTACATATAATAAGAAGTATTACATACAACTAATTCAGTACATTACCCTGTTAGGGCGCAGCAATTTAAAACGTTACAAAATTTATTTATAACATTTATAACTATTTAATATTACATTTATAACATTTATAACTATTTATGAAATAAAATAAACAAAAAAAAACATAAAATCATTTTTCTACAATCAGAAATTCGAAAATGTATGATCCGGTAAACAAGCAGACGGATCATGGTAAGCAATCGACGTCGCCCGTGGACACCTCGAACACCAGAGGCATTGCAAGTGCGTTATCGGCCTTTTGGGATTACGAATTTAAGGATTGTTGGGGATTAAGGGATTGGGGAAGGGCGGGGGGTGATTGGGCCTCCCTTCGTTAGTCTCGCTAAAACTTGAGAACGGCTAAATCGATTTGGCTAATTTTGATCTTGAAATGTGGAACTCTAGGGAAGGTTTAAAAGGTGAGAAAAAACATTAGGCGGAACAAAGTTAATCTTTTAAAAACATTTTCACGTTAATATACTACTTTACTTTTTGGAATGAGCACCTAGCTTCACCTAGTTTCACTGACGGACTGACTGACAGACTATTATTTATTTTGTATTTGTTGACGTTTCAAAAGCACCAAACTATGGTTTAATTGAAATAAATGCTTTGACTTTGATACTTTTCGAGAATGTTCGACTCATTTCATTTTAAGTCATACTAGGGTTCATAATCATGAGCTACGAGCATTCGTCGTGTAGCCAGCAGCTGTAGCCAAATTCCATTTAGCGCTTGTCTACTTGTAGAATAGAAAACTAAATTATATGGAATTGACGTAATTTGTGACACTTGTCAGTGTCATCCCCATACATTTTGATTTCTACTCTCTCGGTAGACAAGCGCTTAAGTGGCGTTTGGCTAAAGGCACTGATGAGAAGAGACAACTGCGACCATCGTATTTTAACACGTTCGAGGACGCTACCACTTGAGTCGGGTTTTCAAAATGACACAGTACATGTCTATACAAAATTATACGACGTATCAGTACGTAGTGTCCCATGAAGAAATATCGTTTTAAACATGTCATGACACAACCGTTTTATCACGTCAACGTGTATATGCATCTAGGTAAGGATCCGCCTCGTTGGAGATGTCGGAATCATCAAACATGCTTATCTTGTGTCTTATTTTGCGCTTATATCCATCTAAAACACACAATAACCCATTAACATCAATTTCACACTGTAAAATCATTAATTTGCATTAAAGTAATGTACACAGTGACACAGCCGCGCTGAATGTAGGAGCGCGGGACGTATAAACACGTTGTGCGTATGTGAATACCGTAACCGCACACTATCAACGACACTTATTTTAAATAGTTCTAAACTTACCCTACGTGACAGTACAAAGTTGGGTATTTTATATGTTGTGACACAAGATACATTTAAAAGGATTTTTACTTGAACTTTCATCGGAAATGAACGTTCTGCCGTATAATTTAAATGTTATTTGAACGTCATCGTACGTTGTGCGATATTAAAATCTCGAACGATGACGTATAATCTCGTTCTGTCCTCGAACGTGTTAAGTAAGCCTTTGACTGCCGACAGGAACCCATTGGAAGACAAATCCTTCGCTAAGCATTGGTGACCGAAGTAGCGGTTAACGTGTTTTAGCATGCCCTTACCAATAGTAGTTCCAAGTTTCGGAGTAACTTCAGGTTTAATGGTGGGTGGTCCTATGGGTATATCTTCAGCAGGCTTGTCGATAGGCTCCGAAGCGTTTGATGGGCTGTAGATGGCTTGGAACACAGAGTATGCTATGAAGAATACGGACACCGTCAGCCATCGATGTCGACGAGGCCTTCTCATCCTCTGAAAAGAAAGAGATGGAGATAGTTATTATAGGAGTAAGATAAGGACAACGAGATGAGATCGTTGGTGATTTTGATTTGTTATACGGATAATAGTGGTTATATAGGATGGACTTTTTGCATTCTTGCTCACTAGATGGCACTAGTGTGTGCCTCTCATTTTTCGTCCAATAGGGAATAAGCTAGTGTTACCCCATTAGACGTTTAATATTTGACAGCTGCTGTGATTGGACAAAAATATTGTACAACACTTGTGCTATTTGGTGGGATAAAAAACGGTAGCCACCATTGCAGTAGGGGTATACAATCATATAATTTTTTTTTGAAGCAGTTATCGAAACAGACTTTCACTTTTACGATAAATAAATAAAACCGTGAAATCCCTTTGGCGCCAACTTATTGAGTATCTGCTTTTAATTGTAACTTGATCTGTGTTATTCGGATAGCTTTGTAAAACCACTTTGTTCGTTTCAATAGTCAATAACCTCAGCTAAGCTGTGAGTGGTCCTTACCAAAGAAAAATGATACCTTGAAGCTGGGAACCAGTGCGTGTGAATGTAAAAAGGTACTAATAATGTGAAAAAGTACACAAATAGAAACTACAGAGCGCCGTCTACATACTTCTTTCACCACGGCCGTACATCCAGGTAAATAAGTGTTGTATGAGTACTACAAAACTATGAATTCCATCTCATACTTTAACTCAAAATAATAATATTTATAAAACCTACTCATTCATTGCAAGTATCTACCTTATTTTACATTTCTATAACGATTATTCTTTAGATATTACACGTGTCGCGATATCCAGGGCCGTCACACTTAGAGCCATTGACAGCTTAAAAAATCGGACCGTCAACTACATCTAGTTTTCGAACCTGAAATTAAATGTTGTCAAAACTAATATTTTCAGTGGCCACACAGTTCCAAGCAAGGTTGCAACATTATTTTAAAATTTAGGCTTAAAATAATATTTTTTGGAAATAGTAAAATAACATTATACACATTTATTTAATACTATATTGCAATTTTTACAAAATAATTCCTTAAACTTAGATCAAATGACAGTTATGCTGGCATAATCGATCAAAGATGACAGCCTCTTTACTAATAATAGAGATTAAAAAGATATTAAGAGATGGATGCCAAACTAAACTCTATGAAGTGACTGCGTCAGGTTTCTGCATCCAAAAGCATTAACCTAAGAGCCTGTGAACCTCAGGTCTAGGCCACCGTTTTTATTATATAAAAACTAATATTATATGAAAATACTCAATTTTCATAGAAAATCTATAAAATAGGTTGCACGTATTCTTTCTGTCTCTCTATCACACACACACATTCACACACATACTTAATCTTTCTCGATAAATGCACTAACTCTATTTCGTTCAGTCATCATCTCTGATTTACAATTTGAGAGCACCATCATTTTCACCACCCTCGAGAACCATGAAAACGACACCTATAACGATAAATTGAAAATATCGTGCAGCCGCCATCTTGGATTTGCATTTTGACAGCACCATCGGTTACCACCCTCGAAAACCATGAAACGACACCATGACGATAAATTCAAAATTTTGTGCAGACGCCATCTTGATTTACATTTTGACAACACCATCGGCTTTATCCCTCGAAAACCATGAAAACGACACCCATGACGATAAATTGAAAATTTCGTACAGCCGCCATCTTGGATTTGCATTTTGACAGCACCATCGGCTTTATCACCCTCGAAAACCATGAGAACGACACCCATGACGATACATTCAAATTTTGTGCAGACGCCATCTTGGATTTGCATTTTGACAGCACCATCGGCTTTATCACCCTCGAAAACCATGGAACGACACCCATGACGATACATTCAAAATTTTGTGCAGACGCCATCTTGGATTTACATTTTGACAACACCATCGGTTTTATCACCCTCGAAAACCATGACAACGACACCCATGACGATATATTCAAAATTTTGTGCAGACGCCATCTTGATTTACATTTTGACAACACCATCGGTTTTATCACCCTCGAAAACCATGAAAAGGACACCCATGACGATAAATTGAAAAATTTTGTGCGCACGCCATCTTGGATTTACAATTTGACAGGACCATCGGCTTTATCACCCTCGAAAACCATGAAAACGACACCCATGACGATAAATTCAAAATTTTGTGCAGACGTCAGCCCTGTTCATTTCCATTTGCTGATTTACTTTATCCAAGTTTTCGAAGATATTATTCATAATAGCTAGTCATTACGAATAATATCAAATTAATCACTTTGGCTGTAACATATGTATATACATTTAGGTCAAACTGATACTCCTTTTTTAAAGTCGGTTAAAAAAGAATCATCAAAATACGTTAAAAACGACGAAGTCATCCCTGAAGGAACATAAAAAAACCTTATAGGTATATAACTTTTCCTTTTTTAAAGTCCGTTATAAATAACAAAGGTCTGGGGTTCATAGGCTCTTGTACTATATGGATTGTCAAATTATTATTTTTTACGGCAACGCTGGGGCTAAAAAAATATTAAAACATTACAATAATTAATTCCAAATTATTTAGATAATAAATAACTATTAAAATAATATTGTTAATAATTAGATATTGATATTAAATACTTTTTTATATTATCTCCTTATTTCTATAAAATAGTATGCATGTAGTTTGTACTATTTTAATACTGGCATATAATATGTATACTTTTTGCTTGATAAAGAAAAGAAACAAAAACAAAAATTTGAAATGTCAAAATTGTAAAAATTTGCCAAAAATATTTTAAATTATTTAATAATTTGTGATGGGATTTTGTGATTGTTTTTCTAAAAAAGGAAGTTCTGCGATGCGTGTTGTGTTTTCTATAAAGGACCTTTTGTATACATGTGTATCACAAATCACAAAAGTACATTGTGTTTGTTTGTCTATTCATTGGACTTGATTTTACAAAGGAACGCTTTAATTTGCGTATATATCTTATTTATAATAAAGAACATCAATACGAAGAATACAATCATGTTGCTGAAGGTAAAACCTACAACAAGTTTATGATTTTTGCTATTGAACCTATTTATACATTTTATTTGATTCATTGAGATACCAAACTATGTAGTTTTTATAAATGTCTACTTTTTCTTTTGTATATTTGTTACAGTGATATTTGGAATTGCTATTGCATCGATATTACTTCAGCATCATCATTGCAGAATATCAATAGTGCAATTTTTTATCGGCAGTTACGAGTCTTACGATGTCCGGATAAAGTGCCGATCTATACCAGCAGTGCTTGAAACCTATTTTAGAGATGGTAAATACTATATTATGTAACATGTAATATCAGTAATATCACGTAAGGTACACCTACCTTAGATAAATAAAAGAAAACAAATAAATAAAATACATATTTCTGCATGTAAAAATAATCTTTGTTTTTTTTTCAGGTACTATTTGTAATTATTCTAACATTCAGACGTATATTGTTGTCTCAAGAAACAAGAAACCCATAGATCGCTGCAAATATTAAAGCAGTATTATTTTTGTAAAACTATTTTTATCTTTGTATTAACGTATATATCATAATTAGAACAACATTTTAAGTACCTACGCACAACAAAGTAATATTAAATTATAAATAAACTAAAATAGGTACATATTCACACCTTAAAAAAAATGTTACCTTAGGGCATCAAAAAATTCTTTTTCATCGCTATCGTGGAGTAGGGTGCCCAAAAGACTGCAGCATTATTCTAGGTTTTACTTATTTGTATTCATATATGTAGAGGTCTCTCCTTCTTGGGCTTGACCTGGTGAAAATGGGCACCGCTTCCCGCAACCCGCAGGAAAAACGATGCTCATAGCCCCTTCTAAATTTGACTTATAAATCTCCTTCTTTCTCTTCTGCTGACTACTTGACTACTAACTGGGTGTAGTTTGTGTGCCAGATGTGGATTGTGAGCTTCATGTGATGGTTGACTGAGTGATATGTGGTGTTTGCGCTTGAGATGGTTGTAATTGATCAGAATCTGGAATGTATGTGACGAAAACTGTGTCTCCTAGTACTTTGCTAAGAATGATTATTGTTTAAATGGTGGCTAATGTCTATTTATGTTTCTAGTTTGTCTGTGTATCTGCTGAGGCTTTTGGCTAGTACCTACTCCTGTGGCTCCAATTACTATAGAATTAACATGCGTTTCAATATTTCAAGGCGTCTAGCCTTGAGTTGTGTCTTTAAAAAGTGGTATTTACTGAATTTCTTTTGCTCCTATGTTGTAGTTACATATGGTACAGTTATGTCAAAGAGGTATGTGGTGTTGGATGTTTTGTTTGTGTATATTATGTCCGGTCTGTTGTGGGCAACTGTGAAGTCTGTCTGAATTGGGATTTCCCACATTATTTTGCCTGTTTCATTTTCATTTGTATTTATAATAATAATATTACTTTGTTTCATTATAATGTTATAAAAATATTATATTTGAGGATAGGAAAAATCTGTAGTTGTTTAATAAAAATGACTGTAATATAACTAGATAGGAAACGACTAAGTCAGGCATTATTAGCAACTAGCAAAAAAAAGTACTAAAAAACTGAGACTGACTGAGAGGCAGACTGAGACTTATTTTTAAGCACTATATTTTTCGACATTATAATAATAAGTGCGACTGCCGGGCAAGGGGTCTCGGGTTCGATACCCGGGACGGGCAAAGTATTACTGGGTTTTAAAAAAATCTCAGTAGTAGTAGAGTAGTCTGGAAATGTGCCCGGTATATGGCAATAGGCTCACCCCCTATTACATGGGACTTATAACATAAATAGTGAAAAGTGGGTGTTACATTGTACAGTGGCATTGAGTGCCGAAATGTGCACCTCTGCCTACCCCTTCGGGGATAAAAAGGCGTGATGTTATGTATGTTATGTAAATTGTATAATAATTTTGTGTTTTTGTAAATACTGTAAGCGATTCAAATCGATGGTAAAATGTACTACATTTGTGT